TGCTGAAACACGCATCCAGGATACACCCTCAACCTGGAGGAAAATAAATATGTGCACAGTGCAGTTTATATTTACAGTCTAATCTGCAGCCAGATGGAGCGTGTATGGAGCATATCCTAGCCTTTACTTTTTACTTTGTACACTCACGATCGTGTGTCCTCCTCTGACTCGAACTTGATCATTAAATATGCTGATGACACCCCCATCATCGGTCTCATCAGTGACAATAATGAATCCTCTTATAGAGCAGAGATCCAAAATGTGGTTCAGTGGAGTAAAACTAACAACCTCCAGTTGAACGCATCGAAAACATGTGAACTGGTCTACGACTTCAGTCGCAATAGTTCTCATTTGCCTGTCGTAATCGACAACTCCCAGGTGCAGATCGTAGAGGAGTGCAAGTCTCTGGGTTTAACTCTGTCTAACGACCTGAAATGGGTTAAAAACACTGACCGAGTCGTTAAGAAAGCTCGTCAGCGTCTCTACTTTCTGCGAAAACTTGGAGAATTTACCACTAACTCTAAGATTCTGCTTAACTTTTATTGCAGCACCATTGAGAGTTTACTTGTTGGTTCTGTGTCTGTGTGGTTTGGAAACATCACAGATAAAGAAAAGAGAGCTTTAAACAAGGTACTCCGCTCTGCAAAGAGGACCGTGGGCTGTGAGCTTCCTGTTCTGGAGGTTCTTTATAAATCCAGACTTTTAAACAAAGCTCTTAGGATTGTCAATGACTCTTCTGGTCACCCTGGGAAAGCCATGTTCCAGCTTCTTCCCTCTGGCAGAAGATATCGCTCTCTGAGATGCAGGACATCTCGACATGCTAACAGCTTCTTCCCACAAGCTGTTATCAGTGTGAACAGAGCACTTGAATGTTCTTGCTCTTTGTATTGATACTGTTTTAGCCAATCAATTTCACATTGACATTTGTCTGTTTTATTTGTTTTTTTTCTGTACTTTTAATGTTTTATGTCTGTACTTGTCTGTGCACACTGGAGACTTTTGCTAATATATTCCAATGTGGTGTTTTTACTGCAAATGGCTAATAAAATGAATCTGAATCTGATATAGACTGTCCAAAAACGTCCCACAGTCGGGAAATTTTAGTGTTGCATCAAAAGTCACCAAATTAGGCATGTGCACAAATATAGGCACCACAAAAGAAAAAATCAAATAAACATTTTTCACATACTCCTTTTACTGAAATAACAGGAAACGCTTCTAAATGAGTCTAGATTCTTGTAAAAGGTATTTTGGACTATTCTTCTTTGCAGATCGTCTCTAGTTCAGTCAGGCTATTAATCAAACCACAAATGTTCAATAATATTCAGGTCTGGAGACTGAGATGGTCATTCCAGAACTTTGCATTATAGATATTCATGATTATTGACCAAGCCAAAACCAAAGTAAAAATGCCAATGTTTTATAGGTATATGCCAAGGTATATTTTTCAAACTTGTTGTAATTCCATTTCCAAGTTCATAACTGCTAAAGATGGTTTGATGATGTTGATTCGGTCTTGCAAATCCAAAATAATATTCACATGGAAGAATCTCAAAAGGATGAGAGTCAAATGCTTCAGTGATTCATGGGGTTAGACTAAATTTACTCATTGTTATTTATCTGTCAGTTGATGTAGGGTTTTTACAGTGTGATTTTGGATTTTAAAATATATTCTTGTTGTTGGAATGGATAGAATCAATAGAATAAACAGACATTATGATAGTTTTTTCCTCATGAAATCTTCACTCTGTTTCAGTTTGATTATATTATGACATAAATGATCACATAAATGCTCACGGGCGACAGTAGCTCAGTTGGTAGAGCATTGGCCTTAAGCCCAGAAGGTTGTGGGTTCAATTCCCACCTCTGCACCTTCTCCACCGACTCCCACTGATGACTGCTGTCGTTGTGTCCTTGGGCAAGACACTTAACCCCACTTTGCCCAAAGCTCCCACTGAAAGATCAAGGCTATGCTCACACTCAGAGAGCAGCCGTCCTCCTGTGGACTCACCACCTGCAGAGGGTCAGTGAGGGGCTGGTGCTATGAGACTTGGGTGGCATCTCTGACTGCCACCCCCCTGACCCAGAAATGGATTAAAGGGTAGAAAATGGATGGATGGATGATCACGATTATTGCTTATTATCCCTATAGATTATTGCTTGTTCTTTACAGCCCGGTATTAGTATTAGATAGCAATATGGCCTATGTGCAGGACTGTACAAGGACTGTACAAGGACTCCATGTTATGACTATGATGTGACTGTCTCTTTGTGACACGTATGTCTTTCGATGTGTGACGTGACAATGACTATATAAACTGTGTACTGCCTTTATTCTGTCTGAGAGAAAGAAACAGAGTAAACCAGTGGAACTTGAGAGAAACTTAAATAAACTTCCAGAGTTTGGCACACCACGATCCGTCTCTGTCTGCTAAATCCTAACAGATTTGGTGGAGAATGCGCGGCTCGGTTTGTGCCATTCTCTGGATTGTTTTGGGGGAGTTTGCTCTGTTTCTTTTCCTCGGCGTGAGAGATCGGCATGCTGTGTCTGGGAGCGGAGATTCCAGCAGACTGGAAGAGCTGTTCCTGGATGCTTCTTGTCGCTTCTGTCACTTTTGTTTTTTAAATTGAATATTCCGACGCGGAAAAGAGGTTGGCAGACCTCTCGGACAGTCCTTGGAACCGGTTTGACAAGAATAAGGTAAGCAGACACCTTTTTATAATGTAAAGTCTGCATAATTGGATATTAGCTAAATTTTGGTCTGTTTTTGGGGTCTGTCAAACTCTCTAAATTGTATTTGAGAAGAAGTCTCGGGGTTAGAGTCCCTTTGAGAAGAAGTCCTGGGGTTAGAGTCCCTTTGAGAAAACGTTTTCGGGGTTAAAGTCCCTTTGAGAAAGTCTCGGGGTTAAAGTCCCTTTGAGAAAGTCTCGGGGTTAAAGTCCCTTTGAGAAAAGCCTCGGGATTAAAGTCCCTTTGAGAAGAAGCTTCAGGGTTAAAGTCCCTTTGAGAGAAACCATGGTGTAAAAATAAAAAATAAATAAAAAGGGAGGAAAAACGAGTGCAGAGACCTTTGTTGCAAAAGTCTTGAAATTGGCCAATTTCAAGTTTAATGAGTGACAAAAGTTGAAGCAATAACATCTGTTATATTTCAGTGATCACGGTTTAAATTACATACAGAAAAAGGGAGTTTTTGTTTTTGGAGTGAACAGAGTTCACCGGAGAATGCAGAGTTTTATCTAAAGTTGAGCTATGAGAGCTTTCGTGAGTTATTTACATTTTTTGCCGAGTTATATCTACAGTTAAGCTATGAGAGGGTTGTATCCAACAGTTGTTTTTGTTTTTTAGAAAGAGATTTTGAGTTTAAACTAGTTTGCTACCTCGATAAAATAGAAGCGTACGTTAAAGACAAGAGTGACTTTTGTTACTAGTGTGGAAAGTGATCACTTCTAGACTTGGATGACAAAAGTATAAAGAACAACATCAGTTATATTCGCTTAACAAAGTAATCTTGAAAGTTATTCTTCTGTATCTTTTTGCCTGTGTGTGCACATCTCTATCTGCTGCCGTTGTCAGGGAAACGGCCCCCTCCTTCGCTGCTCTGGCTCTGAATCAGAGCAAAGCTACTGCTTTAGGATTTTAGGCTTTTCATAGTTGTTATTCCGTTAAATTTGCTAAATTTGCCATTTGAACATTGTGTTAGACACAGTTAAACGTTTTTAAACACCATTTAGTGAATAAGTTTTGAATATTATATGTTTTTGAAACCCAAATATTAGTGCTAAAAGCTGTGCAATTCTTTTTAGACCTAACATATTTCTAGATTCCATTCTTTTAAATCTGCTGCTTATTTTGTGAGTCCATTATTGTATCTCTGATATATTTCATAGCTGTTTGTGAGAATTTTTTTTATGTTTTATGTTTTTTAGTTACAAAAGCCGTTTTTCAAACATTTAAATTAGAATCTGTGTTAAAAGTGATTATTGATTATAGACTTCGTCTAAAAAGAAAGAGGGAATTAGGAATTAGGCTGTAAAAGTATTATTAAGTTAAACTACCCAATTCACCCATTGCAAGCGGTGACGTTTTTGTTTTGACTATGCACCTGACCTTCCTCCTGCTGCAGATGCATGCAGCACAGGAGCCTGGTCTAAAATGTGCTCCAATTCATACTGACTTCATTTGAAAAATGCTGCAATTATTTTAAATTAGTAAAATATATGCTGAGATAAATGCATAGATAATTAAACACAGTACAAAAGTACATAACACATATTTTAAAGTTTAAAGGTTTTTTGAGATTTGAGCCTTGTTTTTTTATATTAAGAGTTTCTGGTCTTAAAAATGTCATCATTAGTAAGATAATAAGTAATCTTTATTTACATAGCGCTTGGGAAAACCCAGAGCGCTCCAAAATTGTTTTGACTTTAGGGAGAAAAACAATCTCATTCGCATACTGATATCTATTGTTTTTTTAAATTGGCCGTCTCAAGGATTGTTTTTCAGACTCTGCCACACTGTACGAGAGGTCACTGCTGGACACTGGACACCAAAGCCCACCCAGCCACAGGTCACAGATCAAAGAGCAAAGGGAAATGCCACCTCCTTGCCCCTCCCCCCACTACAGAAGTAAGTGGGAGTGAGACCGGGGCCATGAAAGAGAGGTATCTGGAGATGTGATGGGTGGAGCGTCAGGTAGAGACCTAGAGGCAGTTGAAAGTGTGTCCAGTTGGTTTGCATCACCGCGGTGTGACCTTTGACACCTACAGGTGGTTTGAGGAGTCTGGAGACACAACCCCAAAATTCACATACACACACACACACACACATGTGTGTGTATGGCCTCATAGACAGGCACATGCACATGTGTGTGTATGGCCTCATAGACAGGCACATGCACATGTGTGTGTACGGCCTCATAGACAGGCACATGCACATGTGTGTGTATGGCCTCATAGACAGGCACATGCACATGTGTGTGTATGGCCTCATAGACAGGCACATGCACATGTGTGTGTACGGCCTCATAGACAGGCACATGCACATGTGTGTGTATGGCCTCATAGACAGGCACATGCACATGTGTGTGTACGGCCTCATAGACAGGCACATGCACATGTGTGTGTACGGCCTCATAGACAGGCACATGCACATGTGTGTGTATGGCCTCATAGACAGGCACATGCACATGTGTGTGTATGGCCTCATAGACAGGCACATGCACATGTGTGTGTACGGCCTCATAGACAGGCACATGCACATGTGTGTGTACGGCTTCATAGACAGGCACATGCACATGTGTGTGTACGGCCTCATAGACAGGCACATGCACATGTGTGTGTATGGCCTCATAGACAGGCACATGCACATGTGTGTGTACGGCCTCATAGACAGGCACATGCACATGTGTGTGTACGGCCTCATAGACAGGCACATGCACATGTGTGTGTACGGCCTCATAGACAGGCACATGCACATGTGTGTGTATGGCCTCATAGACAGGCACATGCACATGTGTGTGTACGGCCTCATAGACAGGCACATGCACATGTGTGTGTACGGCCTCATAGACAGGCACATGCACATGTGTGTGTATGGCCTCATAGACAGGCACATGCACATGTGTGTGTACGGCTTCATAGACAGGCACATGCACATGTGTGTGTACGGCCTCATAGACAGGCACATGCACATGTGTGTGTATGGCCTCATAGACAGGCACATGCACATGTGTGTGTACGGCCTCATAGACAGGCACATGCACATGTGTGTGTACGGCCTCATAGACAGGCACATGCACATGTGTGTGTACGGCCTCATAGACAGGCACATGCACATGTGTGTGTATGGCCTCATAGACAGGCACATGCACATGTGTGTGTACGGCCTCATAGACAGGCACATGCACATGTGTGTGTACGGCCTCATAGACAGGCACATGCACATGTGTGTGTATGGCCTCATAGACAGGCACATGCACATGTGTGTGTATGGCCTCATAGACAGGCACATGCACATGTGTGTGTATGGCCTGGGTATGGGTAAATGTTTAAAATGAATTACACTTAATACATTCCAAATGTCAAGACTGTAAATGACTTTATTGTAAATATGTGCAATTGTAATTGGAACTACTCCTTTTGAGTACTGTTTTTTGAGTACTATCATAGTGTCTATCATGTATTGTATGGGGCAAAGGGGTGTATGGTTGGAGTGTTTGGGCCTGTGTCGTGTTTCTGTTTATTGATGTGTGTATATTTATTTAAATATGTGCAATTGTAATTGGAACTACTCCTTTTGAGTACTGTTTTTTGAGTACTATCATAGTGTCTATCATGTATTGTATGGGGCAAAGGGGTGTATGGTTGGAGTGTTTGGGGCCTGTGTCGTGTTTCTGTTTATTGTTTTAGTGTGTGTATTTGGTGTAGTGTGGTGTGAGTGGGGGGTGGAATCAAATAAGTGTAAGCTTCCTCCATCACCTTTTCAAGTTACATGATTGTGAATTGAAATAGACTGTGTATGTTATTTTTTCCTTACTTGAAATAAATAAACAAACAGCAACAAACTTTAAATTTGAATTAAAAGCAGCATGTTTTCAGTTCAGGACCGATTTTTTCTAATCTAATTGTAGAATGATTGATAAGCATTGCAACTCAAATGGTAGTTTAATTGAATAACAGATAAAACCCAGAAAGAGTCTTGCACAAATCAGACCACAACATTCTGTCTTGTGTACTGCTGCAAGTAGTTTTCACTCTTCTTGAGTTAATACAATTACAATCCAATTGTGTTGCCAGTATCTTCCTGCCTGTGACACATGTAGCGCTTAAGAACTGATTACTGATGCGAACCACCTGCTGGGTTGAGCTAGAAATAGTACAAACTCTGTGTATTACGTATAACTAATTATTTTTGTATCTGTTTTTATTTAAACAAATGTGTGGTGCATTTAAAAAAACAAAAAGATTCACCTTACACTGGCAACCCAAAGGAGGAAAAACATTATACATGAATGTTGTAGACATCATTACTCAAGAATAATACACTTTAAGTTTTTGTTCAGAAAAGGCAGAAATATACTGGAAAATATGTAATTTAAAATGAAAATGATACATACTGTTCTTCGGGTTAGGTTTAGGATTAGGGTGTTGCATTCTTGCATGCACCTGTGAGTCACTAGGTATGTTAAAGCTGACGTCCGCGATTTCAAACCAGAAGTGAAGGTGGAGAAAGACGTCTGATCTCAACTTTGACACAGAAACAGCTCGAGACAAGCCAAGTTATAAAGTAATTTAAACTAATCAACAATCATAATAATCACCTTGTCTACACAGCACAACAGCTTGAGCTTTTCATTATGTAAAGATGTGACAGTGGCCAAGCATTTACAGATGTATACAAACTGTTTTGAGGGCGAGGAGCTAGTTAGATGGATTTTGTAGGTCCATTGCTGCGGTTTGAAAAGTTTGCTTCCCCAGTTGTAATGCCAGGCTTCTGTTTTGGTCACATTTACACTGAGGTGCATCTATATCAGCTGCATATATACGTACAAGAACATGGAATCACAATAGTCTCATGTCAATCTATAAGGAGTTCTCAGTGTTATGATGTCTTCATGGCACGTGTTTCTTATCCCCCCCTTCCCTCTTTCCATGCCACCTGAAGCTGCATGTTCCCTAAAGGCATGGGTGACGCAGACAAACCCAGACCTTGTGCACACCAGGGGGCATTCACGGCATTGCAGCGCTCTCTGCACCTTTCACACTGGCTCTGTTTGGACACATACACGCAGCTGTGACACTATAGGCTCCTGACGCAACAGTACAATTCCGGTGTTTTAAAGTCGACGAGTCAAGGTGATTCAAGGTACCAGAGTTCAAGCACAGTGGTCGAAGCTTTTTCCACAACACTGAGTCCCATGATCTCCAGTCTGTTTTTAGAAAGCGCAGATGAATGAAGCAGTCAAAACATCAGAAACATATACACATAAATTAAAAAGGCAGAGCATTCGTTGTAGAATATGACACATGTTGATTTACTATTTTGAGCAGTGATGCAAATGCAAGCAATCAGATAAGACTATTGCTGCTTTCTATAGTTATCTTTAGTACTAGTACATAAAAGTTCACCTTATTGGCACGGTGACAATAGTACCATTTTGCAATCTCTGTGCCGCTTTACTCATGGACTTATGTTTTTATACATTTTTACAACCATATGTTTCTCACTTTTTGAAAGCTATTCTTAATAACTTGTATGGTTCATTCATTTTCAAGCTACTGCTACTTAGTGTATATTTTTGTAACTCTGCATTTGTAATAAGGTTTCACATGATAAGTGATGTGCTGCATATTTACATAAAGCCTGTTTAATATGTATACAACACAAACTCGGCTCCAACTTTGGCACACACATATTTGCTTCCCTTGAAATTTGTTTTTTTTAACATATCTGCACAATAATATTTCTGCATAATCTTCCATCCATCCATTTTCTACCCCTTAATCCATTTCTGGGTCAGGGGGGTGGCAGTCAGAGCTGCCACCCAAGTCACATAGCACCAGCCCCTCACTGATCCTCTGCAGGTGGTGAGTCCACAGGAGGATGGCTGCTCTGTCGGTGGCAGCAGAGCCTTCATCTTTCAGAGGGGGCTTCAGGCGAAGTGGGGTTAAGTGTAGCAGCAGCAGACATTAGTGGGGGAAGGTGGAGAAAATTTGGGTGGGGATTGAACCCACTACCCACAGGCTCAAAGACTAATGCTCTACCAACTGAGCCCCTCTCCCCATTATTTTCAGAGCTATCAGTTTATTTCCTGGCCCGCACAGCACACCTCAAACATAAATGTCTTTTAACAGGAGCCAAGGGCATGACAACCAACATCATAGTGTCAACCTCACTCTTTGGCTGACACTCTGGACTGGCTAATCATCCTGAAGTTGGATTGCTGTCATTCTGACCAGAGCGACAGACCAGGGCGAATACTCCACCCATGTGCCTGACCTATCAATATGCAGGATTTATTGTGGTCCTTTTTTTTACATTCTAAGGCCAAATGAAGTACTTACTAGTATGTCATCTATAGTATATAGAAGTTTTGGAAATGTCAACCAACTTCCTTATCTGCCATACATATTCATAGTGCTACAGCCGGTGCATTACAGAGAATAAACCAGCCTCTGTCTTGTTGATGGACCCAACCTACTCTTTGTTTTGACAAAACGTCTCTGTGGTAAGAACAAGACACCACTGTCAATGTGAGCATAGCCATGATCTGACAGATCAAGCGGGGGCTTTGGGCAAAGTCGGGTTAAGTGTCTTGCCCAAGGACACAACGACAGCAGAGCGAGTCGGTGGAGAAGGTGTCAAGGTGGGAATTGAACCCACAACCTTCAGGCCTAAAGGCCAATGCTCTACCAACTGAGCTACTGTCGCATTTACTTACGTAAATGCATTATTCAAGAAAAGAGTAAAAGTCCCAACCATGGCATTCTACCTGAACACTAAAGAACTCTTTCACTCTTCAGCTCAGTCAGAGGCCGCTCTGTCCTAACAGGATCCAAAGTGGGACAGGTAAAGTGATACATGAGAAATCTTGTTCTCTGATTGTTTGGGATCAAGGTTGAGTCTCCAGAGAACCTCATGGTTGAACTAAATGAGAGAAGATTGGATTTCTGTGAGAAGACAAGGGTCTTCTATTTGAACAGCGTCGGACTATGCAGAAGATGTAACTGTAGAATAGTGTTTGTGTCTTTCGTGAATCTTCTTACATTTACTTTAAAAACATTACAAAAAGTCAGATATTCTATAATGAATGCTCTGCCTTTTTAATTTGTGTCTATATGTTTCTATAAAGTTCTTGTATTTAAATCAAGCAGACGTTGATTCTACTCAGATAATGTCTCTTTAACCTTATTCTAAAACATATTTGTTAAGCGTGCTCGGAGGCCTCTTCCCAGCACTATGTACATAAAGGTTCTTTATAGGTTAATGCCCAAAAAAGAACCTTTATGAACCTTCTTCAGGAGTACAATGGTCCTGTAAACCATGACAGCGTCTGGATGGCTGTCCATGTGCAAACAGACCCACTGCTGTTTATAATAAACGTTATTAAAGAATCAAATAATCTGTTCTTAACAGTAAAGCAGAACACTTGTCTCAAAGGGTTGCTTTGGTGAAAATATTATATTTCAGTAATCACATGTTTTTAATCAGTCATTTTTTCTGGAACCTTAGCAATGGAAAGAATAAACTCTTGACTTCTGTAGAATTCCAGCGACTTTCTTGTTGTTGTCTTAGAAATACAGTAACAAAGAGAAACATTAAGATTCAAGACACAATGTATGATATCTACATATAACATGATTCAAACAGACTAACTTTCTCTACTGACTATCACTATTTTAACAAACTATGTATCTTATAGCATTTGTCTATAATTTCCACAAGTTCACATTTGAACTTCTGCCATCACATAGTGTTTACTAACACACCTTCTCCCAGGCCATGGAACCTTATCTAATCTCGGGCCTGTTGTCACATATTGATTTGTCCAAACCATTGAAAACTCGTGCAGTGGGAACATAATAAGACTGCACAGTTGGCAAAGAGGTCATAGTTTATATGAATGAAAAGTTGAATCGTGGTAGCTTGAAAACGTTCTTATCAGTGTTTGTATGATTGGCTGCCTTTCATCCAGACAAATCCTAAATTTAATTTGTAATTTCTTTTGTAGAAATAAATAATGCATTCAATAATAGATACAAATGGTATTTGTGCATTTTCACTACTCAAAGAAGGTTTTCCGTTTGTAAAAGAAGGGACATCTGTCAAAAAAGTTCTAATTTTCAGACATGCCGAAATAGACAGGATCACCAGCTCTCGCCCAAAATGCTGCTTTACTATGGACTTAGGGACGAAAACAAAACGTACTTATTTATTAGAAAAAAGTGTGAAATGCATCTTATTCTTAATATTGTGTCTATTGTAGAGCGATTGAGAGGCCTGGGTGGTGTGTAAATAAAGAACTTATAGGTTTAAAAAGGGTTAGAAAAGGGTGTAGAAAAACATCAGTGAGGTCAACCATGTAAGAAAAATGTGTTTGACTTCCAACATTCTGGAGACTCTGTTTGCAGTCGTCCAAGAGAGAAGTTAAATATTGTGGCTAAATGAAAATATAATTAAGTTGTCTCACTTTGAAGGTGAATCATCAACACCCAGGGCCAGACTTTAGGAATGCAGGATGCTGTATGGACGAATATAGATGAAAAAAGCTATATGCAGCAAATCATTATGGGAAAATGTGGTTTCTTGGGAGATAATTGGTGATGAATTAAAACCAATTGATCTCAGAATTACTTATAACAAGGATTACATTGTTATAAAGTTGAGTTTTGAACACACAGTTGTTGTATACCAGGGGTCTCCAAATGGCGGACCGCGGTCCAGGTTCGGACCACGAGACCCTTTTCTCTGGACCTCCGTGATTTTTTTGTCCAAAAGTACATTATTACAATTATGTGTCAAATTTTCACCAAAAGTGATTTGTAACCTGCCAGGCGCGAGGGCGGCTATGTGGTGTCCTTCGAGAAAACTATGCGGAGCTATCAAAATAACTTTAGCAGTGTCTGAATCTGAGTGAGAGTCAGAGACGTGAAAGAGGCGGGAATGAGCGCTGTGTACGGAGCGATGGACGCTCGCGTTCAGCTGCTCAAACTGGCTGCGTATGAGCGGAGGAGGAGGAGGAGGTGGAGCGAGACAGAGGTGTGTGAGGAGGAGCAGCGAGGAGGAGCGAGACAGAGGTCAAAAACATATTAAAAGCATTAGCAAACAGCGTATGCCCTACTTTAGTGCATAAAAAGCCTTGTTGTGGTCAGAGTGTGTGGAGAAGGAGGAGGTCAGAGAGTGTGGAGGAGGTCAGAGAGTGTGGAGGAGGAGGAGAAGGAGGAGGTCAGAGAGTGTGGAGGAGGTCAGAGAGTGTGGAGGAGGAGGAGAAGGAGGAGGTCAGAGTACGTGTGGAGGAGGTCAGAGAGTGTGGAGGAGGAGGAGAAGGAGGAGGTCAGAGTACGTGTGGAGGAGGTCAGAGTGTGGAGGAGGTCAGAGTGTGGAGGAGGTCAGAGTGTGGAGGAGGTCAGAGTGTGGAGGAGGTCAGAGTGTGGAGGAGGCCAGAGTGTGGAGGAGGTCAGAGTGTGTGGAGGAGGTCAGAGTGTGTGGAGGAGGCCAGAGTGTGGAGGAGGTCAGAGTGTGTGGGAGGAGGCCAGAGTGTGGAGGAGGTCAGAGTGTGGAGGAGGCCAGAGTGTGGAGGAGGCCAGAGTGTGGAGGAGGTCAGAGTGTGTGGAGGAGGTCAGAGTGTGGAGGAGGTCAGAGTGTGTGGAGGAGGTCAGAGTGTGGAGGAGGTCAGAGTGTGGAGGAGGTCAGAGTGTGGAGGAGGTCAGAGTGTGGAGGAGGCCAGAGTGTGGAGGAGGTCAGAGTGTGGAGGAGGCCAGAGTGTGGAGGAGGCCAGAGTGTGGAGGAGGTCAGAGTGTGTGGAGGAGGTCAGAGTGTGGAGGAGGTCAGAGTGTGGAGGAGGCCAGAGTGTGGAGGAGGTCAGAGTGTGGAGGAGGTCAGAGTGTGGAGGAGGCCAGAGTGTGGAGGAGGTCAGAGTGTGGAGGAGGCCAGAGTGTGGAGGAGGTCAGAGTGTGTGGAGGCGATTGCAAAAAGGTTCTTTGATGGAAAGAAGCACTTCAACAAAAAAGATCCCCTCGTCCTCCACAATGATCATGTGTTTCAGCCTCTTTAAGGTTTTCAAATAATTTCATATGAAAGAAATGGCTTGAATGGGTTTTTATGAAATAAAATATTCGTATGATGTCCGGACCCTGATCTATTGAACTGATCACGTAAGTGGACCTCGTGCCAATTTAATTGGGAACAATTTTATACTGAGATACATTAATTTGCAGTTTGAAAGTTAGATACCTAACTGGATTGGGGCGACAGTAGCTCAGTTGGTAGAGCGTTGGTCTCTGGACCTAATGGTCGTGGGTTCGATTCCACCACGACCCATGTCATCTGCTCCCACTGATGTCTGCTGTCGTTGTGTCCCTGGGCAAGACACTTAACCCCACTTTGCCTGAAGTCCCCGCTGAAAGATCAAGGCCGTATCTGTGATGAAAGAACAGCCATCTTCCCGTGGACCCACCACCTGCAGGAGGATCAGCGAGGGACTGGTGCTATGTGAATTGGGTGGCAACTGACTGACTGACTGCCACCCCCCTGACCCAGAAATGGACAATAAAGGGATGAGAATGAATGAATGAATGAATGAAGTTAGATACCTATAGCTTTAAGTATAAGTCTTGCTAATTAATCATTTGTACATCCCAGTAGACATTGTGCTTTCAAGTGGTTTAAACTACAGTTGGCATAAATATATTAACAGTAAACTGTAAAATAAAATTAATATGTAATTTGTACAAGAATTGATAACCCTCTTCTGCAAACCCATTTAAAAACAAATTTAATATATTACACACACATACATACCCACGTATAAACTGTTTGCAGGCGTGTGCGTGATTTCACATAAGTAGTTAGTGCAGTGCATGAGGTTGATGGGATGAGTGCTAAATAGACTTACTGCGACTGCACTTACTGGAAACGTAAACATGGGCAACTTTATCATGAGTGGCAGAATTTCAATGGACGGCTCTCATTGGATGCTTTTATCTCACCATTCCAGCAGCAGTGCTCATGTGATGATGATGATGATGATGATGATGATGGTGGTGGTGATGGCGCTGGCTCGTGTGGAGGGCGGGGTCTGTATGGCCTGAATGCACGTTGGAAAAAGGGGCGGGCAACTCTAAAAATTACTACAACCTCCTTTTGCCTCCGCATCCTCTCAGACCACTTTAAACAGACCAGAGACCACTGCGATTCACGGATCCACCCCGGACGTGTTTTTACTCAAGTCTATCCATTGAATCTGTCTTGGTTTTTTTCTGCATTGATTATTATTTTTTTGCTTCAAGTTCGACTCGTGCTATGGCCAAAGGAGAAGGAGGCGAACAATACTCCAACGCGAGTCTGTTGAATAAACCGAGCTCAGACGGCATTCAGCTGGCAAGGAAGGTATGTGCATTTATTTATTTATTTATTTACGAATATAAGACAAGTTTTTGGCTTAAAATGCGAATTAACATGGCTCAGATTTGGTCATGTATGGCCGAATATAGCCGTCACTGAATGAATGAACCACGCCACCCGGTGAGATGACATTTGTGAGACGTGAGTCACTAATAATAAATAATAAATAATAGCTTTTTATTGAGAAACATCAACGCCATAATATATCATACTACGCAGCATCGTATTCAAATTCGGCCCCAGAATTTTTAATTATAGAATCGCAATGCACATGCAAGTTTTATGTTGATTTTTTTTTGCACATATCACATGTTAAATAAATATTATATTGGAACGTCGGAGGTTATCTTCTAATAAATCAAGCTCACTTTAAAAAAAGAAAAAGAAAAACTGTCGCAAAATGGGTGTCTCGCTGGTGTGGCATTTGAAAGCTTCCTTTGCAACCCCAAAAAAAAACCCATAAAAACATCACCCACAGTCTTGTATATAATTTAGCCTGTATCACAAGGCGTAATAACGAGTTGTATTTGATTTTCTGTTTAATATATTATTGTATAGACAAACGCGAATGCAGCAATCAGCAACACCCACCATGAAGGCGACGTGTCCAAGTCTGGAAGAAAAACCCGGTGCATGGGTGTTTGGTCTTTGGTGCATTCATAAAAACAGAATTTACCTGTACAGTATATTCAATTCAACACATCTCCAAAATATTTACTATCTCTGCTCCAAACATGCACTTGAACGAGCCAAGAATAGGTCATTTCTGTCTAGGATGCGCCCTATCAGTAGCACAGCAGGTCCATGTAATCTCTGGTAGCAGTGATAGTCCAGCTTCTGTCTCACACGTGTGCAGCTTGATGTAAGCCTAAACACACTTATGTAATTTTGATGTAAATAGGACTTGCACATAAGCTGGAGTGTTCGCTCATAAATGCATGTATGCTGCTGTGCCAAATGCAAAGAGAAGCCTGTGCGGTCAGTCAGTACTCTACCCAGTCCATAGGCTCCACATGAAATCACAGTCTGTATCTCTACTTGTGAGGGTGAAAATTAAGGCAATTTTAAGCTGGGATTCCTAATTTTAAATGCAATAGAACCAAATAGTGGGATTGTATCACTAGTTTTTGGCCTCTTATCACGTTAGATCAGATTTTTAAAACGGAAACATTAAATTCTCAGTCAATCAACTTTCAGTCCAACACGTCAAATAGTGACAGATGGCTTTTTCTCAAGACTGCATGTTGTGGTTTGATTGCGTTGTTCATATTTTATTTTTTTACAGGACTCAACATGTATCACTTATTAAAAATTACATGTTTGTACCGCAGCTGTAATGTTAGGAGTTCTAGTTTTCAAAAGGCAGACTTATAAAGTACTACAGTGCGTAACACCCACAGACGCATTTCTAAGATGTATGGGAACTGCTGCTGGTGTCGGGTTTATTCAGGAACTTCACCTTCAAACAGTGCACTGTGGAGATTTGAGGCTTGATTTAAATCATCAGGTACATGCATTACAAAGACAGTTACTGTGTGGGTCAGTAGTTTGAATAATTACTCTTCTGTTTGTATGGTGTCTTGTTCTTACCACAGAGACGTTTTGTCACCTAAACAAAGAGTAGGTTGGGTCCATCAACAAGACAGAGGCTGGTTTATTCTCTGTAATGCACCGGCTGTAGCACTGTGAATATGTATGGCAGATAAGGAAGTTGGTTGACATTTCCAAAACTTCTATAGACTATAGGTGACATACTAGTAAGTAGTTCATTTGGCCTTTAGAATGTAAAAAAAAAGGACCACAATAAATCCTGCATATTGATAGGTCAGGCACATGGGTGGAGTATTCTCCCTGGTCTGTCGCTCTGGTCAGAATGACAGCAATCCAACTTCAGGATGATTAGCCAGTCCAGAGTGTCAGCCAAAGAGTGAGGTTGACACAATGATGTTGGTTGTCATGCCCTTGGCTCCTGTTAAAAGACATTTATGTTTGAGGTGTGCTGTGCGGGCCAGGAAATAAACTGATGGCTCTGAAAATAATGGGGAGACAGGGGCTCAGTTGGTAGAGCATTAGTCTTTGAGCCTGTGGGTTGTGGGTTCAATCCCCACCCAAATTTTCTCCACCTTCCCCCACTAATGTCTGCTGCTGTTGTGTCCTTGCGCACTACACTTAACCCCACTTTGCCTGAAGCCCCCTCTGAAAGATGAAGGCTCTGCTGCCACCGACAGAGCAGCCGTCCTCCTGTGGACTCACCACCTTCTGGAGGATCAGTGAGGGGCTGGTTCTATGTGAACTGGGTGGCAGCTCTGATTGCCCCCCCACCCAGAAATTGATAAAGGGGAATAAGGTGAATGGATGGCTCCAAAAATATATTATGTTACCATTGTTGGTATATGAGAATCTGTATAATGTGACATCTTTGGACATATTGTCACAATTGTAATGGGGGTTGGGCAGAATAAATATCAAGTTCAGTCTTAACCCCTTTTAGTCAGGCTTTATATTGCACTACAATTCTTCAGATGCACTATTTATTTTTATTTTTTCTTATTGTAAAATGTATGAGATCTTTGAAAACATGGGACAAGATCAAATGTTTATGATGACCATTACTATAACTATAAGATTAAGAGTTTGTCCAATGGTTCATGTCTCATCGGAGTAGTGATGGTACTTTGCTTGCCGAGCTATTTCATTTGCCACATTTCAGGTCTAGCTTTATAATGTGGTTTATCAATAATCTGACTGCAGATTTGAAGCGCATTATGTGTAAGATTAGGTGGTGAGGGGAATGGGTTATTTAACTATCTGTTAAAATGCCGTTCACAACACAAGAATGAGCCTCTTGTATTGACAAGCCAGCTACATCACTTAAAAAGTCATGAAGCTGTTGATCATAAGTTGATGTGGTATTATTTCGATGTCAATGTAATGCTGTCTTTTTTTCCTCCCTTCTTCAGCGAGACCGGAATAAATTGTCTATCTGCAACAAGTTGTGCTATGCAGTTGGAGGTGCCCCCTACCAGATCACAGGATGTGCCCTTGGCTTCTTTCTGCAGATCTACCTCTTGGACGTGGCTCAGGTGAGTCTGCAGGTTATCTTAGTTGTTCGTCACACATTGCCTAATTGTATTGTGCCCTACCCAAACAAGTTCAGCAAAGACTTGTACAAACCACCACTACCTATGCTCTCCTGTTGTACTCAGGAGTTGTTAGTGAGCAGACTTTTGGAACAACTCTGCTAAAGACCACCAGTGTACTACCCAAAAAAAGGTCAAAAATAAGTGAAAGCTTAGCTACTATACTAGGCTGCTTCTTTGCAGGAGGGGATCGCTTTAATTGGCTTGGACATTAAGCTCATGGTCATGACCATGAAAAGTCTGTAAGTCGGGGGCTTCCGAGGGTCCAGCTGTGTCCAGTTTCTTTGATTCTTGATTAAGATTCAATAAAGTGACACAGCTTGAAGCAGATTGTACAGTCAGAAGCATTCAACAGGCTTGGCGACTATTCAGGCGTGCCCCGTCACACAAAGCACAGAAAATGGGGGCAGGAGCAGCCCTGTGGTTTAATTAGGCTTAAATAGTCCTTCTGTAAATCAGTAAGTGGATCAAAGTTGTAAACAAACTAACTTTTTGTCTTTTTAAAGCTGGATCCCTTCTATGCATCGATCATTCTATTTGTGGGACGAGCTTGGGATGCAGTAACTGACCCCACGGTGGGCTTTCTGGTCTCTAGAACCCCATGGACCCGTTTTGGACGCATGTTGCCATGGTAAGTCATTACTTTTGTTAAACACAGTAAAACTCACAAAGTAGGGATATTATTCTACTCTATTCACTCTCAGTAATGACACTCTTGTGGTTCCAAATGATCACAATGTCCTTTTAATAGCTCCGTGTTGTGACTCGGATAAGTATGGTGACATGTGTCTGTGTTTGGGGGAGGGGCCGTGTGGTGACATCACTGGGGTTTACTCATGGTCAGTCTGATGTAATCGCTGCCATAACACTATTGACCATTCAAGACCTGGGCATGACTGTCTGTGTTCCCATTAACAAAACGTACACATTATGGTTATCGACACTAAGTATTAAAGCGAGGAGGGGGAATTTCCAACAGCATGGCCTTTGACAGGACACTGATAAATATAACTTGTGCCTCTGAACTGAAATACAGTCCAATGGCAACAGGCCTTAGCTTCTCTCTGAGCTTCACAGTCTGTGTGTATGTGTATAATTTACCACGATAGGAAAAAGGTCTCAACAGCAAAACTAATTTTTAAGGCTTCAACCATTTTAAACCATACAAATATTTGTTTAAGGCTGGTGCTGTTATAGTAGCATATTCACACCCAAATTCCAGCTCATTCTGTCCTATATTTTGGTTCACTCCTGCCAATAGACAAACGAACGCACACACGTTACCCCTTGGCAGTATAAATATGGGCTCAATGTTTACATATTCAACGTAATACACTTCCAGTAGAACATTATCAATCTATTACACAATTGTGACAAGTCTTGGCTTACTTGAGCAGCAAGTTTGTTTCACGTGCGTCTGTTGTAACCACAGTGGTATTTACCAAGTTCACAATCCATTTGTAAATAGCAACACAAGACTAATTGTTATTTAAATCCACAATTGAAAGTCACTGGAGACTGGGTTTGATTGCCTCCATCTTTGCAAAATATTTCACTTGTAACAGCTGGGATCTGCATGTGAAAACGAGCATAGCAAAGCCTGACGTAAGCATGAAGCAAAGGGGCCTGGTATAGTCTCCTCCAGATGCAGAGACAACACTGGACTTGTAGGTCAGTGACTAGACTCTAGGTGCAAAAGTGAGTATGTTAGAGAGATTGGGGTAATATGTCGACGGTCCTTGGACAATAGCAGATGAAAGAATTCCAGGCATGTTTGGTCACATTCTGTCTCCATGAGCAGGCGTGTGTATGCGCTGCAGAAGGCGCTCCCTCTCAAACGTCTGCGGGAAGGAAATGGGGGGAGGGCCCAGAGAGCTCTGATTGGTCCAGCCCACAACACACCACCAAAGCCAGCCAATAGAAAGCCGCCTCTCAGCTACGAATACTCAAATGGGCAGTTAGGATGAGGACTCTACAGGAGGTTACTCTAGTTCAAGTTGTGTAAAGAAGCAGAATGACTTTCACTGTTGCTGCAGCCTTTGAGTGGAGGAGTCGCAAGAGACTGGGAAGGTCCTGAACTTGCATTTAATTGTACATCTGCATTGGATCCTTCCTTCCTCTAGAAATAAGTAGTTTTAAGCGTGGCAGTGTTTTCTAAAACTATTGGAAGTTTTGAAAACGCATAGATTCTAGAAATATTAGTTGGTGTTGAAACTTATTTTGTATACATTTCCCTATTAACACAAATAACATGTAGATGCAAAGCTCTAGAGCAGGCGTGTCCAAAGTCACTTTATGCGATGCTATGCGGTGCAAACCCAAATTCTACCCATTGAGATCATAAACAGGTTCATCTAGCCAACTTCAGCTCCGCCATCCTATGCTCGTTGTGAAGCTCAGGCCCTCTGGAATATAGAGATTGACGTTGATTGTGTTTTTGTTTGCATTTCCGTTTGTGGCACAACATTCTTTATGCCAGTAATGTAACTTGAGCAGTAAGCGTTTGTCATTCAACCAACTTCAATTCTCTCAAATTTGAATCAATATGGAGCATTTAGTTTATTCATTTATTTGGCAGATGGTCAACAACCACAAAAACAATTCCATACGCACAAACCATATCCAAAAAGGGGCTATTGTTCAGATCAAAAGGATTAGGCTGAAGTTGGTCACATATTCCGCCTCACCCCATTACTAATGCCATGATGTCAAACCTAATTTTAAAACGTTGAACAGACTGAATACAGCTAAAATAAATGTATAAACCCTGTTGACAGCCCTGGGAGAAGTCTGGTGAACTCAAGTGACACTCTCACTGTTGAGGATTTATATATTCAAGTACAAATTGTCTGTGCATCCACGCAATGACAATAAAGTTTGCATATCGCGTCTAACCTGAAGAACCAGTACTCTCTTCAAACTGTCAGAGGCTCGCTGAGCTTGACTGGATGCAAGCTCTGCAACCTTGTCAGCAGATTTATTTTAGTTTTAAATTTGATTCCTGTGCCTCACCAGGGCTGTAGTGCCGTTATAACCCACTGTTCCACACGCATTACCAGCCTTTTCATATCTGATACTGATATTTCTGCTTTCAATATCTGCTGAGAACCATAATATGAGTCGATTTCAGCGATGAGAGCCCTTCAAATGACGGCTAACTATTAAATTGTGATATTAAATGGGTGTTTAATCCTGGAGTAACTATATACTTATGTTATTGCATCAACTGAAAGGGCCAATCAGGATGTTTGCTTAAAGCTGCACTAACTGACTTTATTTTCGTATTAATTACGAAAATGCTATCCATGTCCATGTAGTGCATTGGGATATACGTCCTTTTGAAGAAAAAGTAGAGCAGATTTGTGCTGGCCTGACATTATATTTTAGATCGAGTTTTGATGAAACAAGGAAGAGAATGTGTTTCGGGTCGCAGATTGTGACCAATCACAGCGGACCACTAGCCCCCACTTTCGTGAGAAATCTCCAGGTCCGTTAGCACAGACAGCTGAGTTAGCACAACAAGCGGCGGAGCTAACCTGAAACTTTCTCGTCTTCGTCACCGGTTACTGCTTACACAGCAAGACAGCCATCCAAAAGAAAGTCTCGTTCCTCCGTGCTTCCCGGTTCTATCGTTCTATGGTCACGCCATCCACGTGCAAATCCATATCCATGTATTATCCATATTGGGAGAGGCTAGCTCCGTCTCAACACTGTGTGTGTGTGGGGGGCGATAGCTTCGTGGGTGCGGGGAGGGGAGCAGAAAGAGAGAGGCCAGCGAGTCTGCGGCTTCAAAATCCCAAAGTCAGTTAGTACAGCTTTAACCAAAATCAGATCATACTGTATATCAGAAGAAACGATATCTGCCAATCAACAACCCAGCTCAATCAGCTTCCGTTAAAGTAGTTTTGCTTTTATGTATTCTAAACAGTGTTGGGTAAGTTACTTTGAAAATGTAATTAGTTACAAATTACTAGTTACTTCTAAAAAAAGTAATTAGTTACATTACTTAGTTACAGCCCCAAGAAAGTAACTAAGTTACATTACTTTTGGATTACTTCGTGTCACAAAAAAGAGAACAGAATCAAGTTTGTATGTTTGCTTTATTAAAGCCATTTAAATAAAGGTCAACAACAAATCAAAACTGGCTCAAATGGCATAACATAAAAATGTAAAATGTTTCTGAAAGACGGCGACTGAGGTTACCTGACAGCGTAATTCAAGTCGAGCTTGCTTATTATATCGTGTTGGTGTTGTGCTGTCGGAGGAGGAGGAGGAGGCGGCGGCGGCTTCGCTGCGACGCTCTTTAGCGACAGTTGAGTGTTGACGCTGCAAGTGTTTTAAAAGGTTCGAGGATGAGTTGGCTGCGGTGGACAATCGCTTGCTGCCCGCGCAAAGCTTGCACTCCACGACAACGTTTTTATCTTTTTGACTGATGTAGTTGAAATAGTGTGCATATCTCCACCGGTAAAAAGAACTCTTACTCTTCTCCTCTGACTCTGCCATGTTGCTTTACAAACAATCTCGCTCATGTGCGCAGCGTGACGTAAGCACGCAGGCACGCATGGAGCGGTAGTGCAGTTCTCCCCTGCTTTCCCGAGGCCGGTGCCGCCGGTAACGAAGTATTTAGGTAGTAACTGTAATACAATGAAACGTATTTTCATAATAACGCGTTACACTACTACGTTACTCAAATTGTAATTTCGTTACAGTAACGCGTTACTTAGTAACGCGTTACACCCAACACTGATTCTAAAAGATAAACAATACATGGACCATAAAGAATTCTGTTCATACTTCTACTTCCCTCCAGCATTAAAGTTTCCATAAGACGTTGGTGTTGTGGTCCCGAGTGAGTTCTTTGAATATTGAACTGTGACTCACACATCAATATACTTTCATTGCTCACATGTAAATCCCCCACGACCCGGTTTTATAATCAAACAGATGGAATATTCCCGTATGAGCTGCATCCTGCCTTCTCCTCTCAGGCGTGGCTGCTTGCAACAAAGGCTGTGATTGGCCAAAGAGAAACTGGCCATCGGAGGAAGCTGGAATAAGAGGAAGTGACCGAATGCTTCCCTCTGTGGGTTTTTGGACAGGATTCCTATCACAGAATGACATCATGATCACCATTCTTCCATCACCAAAAATTGTATAAATTTGGGCTGTAATGAAGATTCTTTTGATTAATCGAATTAGACCCCCCCCCCCCCCCCCCCCCCAGAAAATCTGTGAATATGGGATTTTCTTAAACATTTTCTCAAAACAATGCCTTGTTACACATTGTAAAAATAAGTAAAGTAAAAATAAAATAAAATTTGTAAACACATTTTCATTTTATTGTAAATATAGAATTCTAAGTCCTAAAACCTCTTCTCGGCTTGTTAAAGTAAATGTAAGGTTGACTTTACCTAAAACTTAAGTTAATAGTCTGTTCCAGGTCTGTTCCAAGTGATTATTTTGTGTGTGTGTGTGTATATGTGTGTGTGTGTGTGTGTGTTATTAAAAGTCTCCTAAAACTTTAGAAACTGGGAAAGCCCTTAGGTTGTGGGGCAGGAGCTAACTCAGAACCTTGTGCTCTATTTGCTGCACGCTTAAACTTGGCAACAACAAACTGCTGAGGTCCAGAAAATAGGCCTGGCATAAAAGAATGGCAGTCACATTAATCGGTGTGCGCGGTGCCCCTTATATAACGGCCGTCGCCTCTCTGCGTAACGACTGTTTACAACTTCACGCACTAAAGCTCACGTTGTAGTCGGCTCGCTCATGTTGGACTGTTGCTTGTGTCCTCTCGCAGGATCCTGTTCTCTACACCTCTCGCCGTCGTGGCCTATTTCCTCATCTGGTACGTGCCGCCTTTTGAGAACGGCAAAGTCATCTGGTACCTCCTCTTCTACTGCCTCTTCCAGACCCTCCAAACAGTGAGTGTGACAGTGGCATATGTGCATCTACTGCTGTGAGGGGAAAAAAGGTCTTTCATTAAACAAAGCACATACTGAAAGTCCTATATAAATAGATTTGAATATGCAAAGGAGCACACTACACTAATAAAATATGGTCAAATATTTGTGTTGAGCTTATTTTAATAGTAAAATGAATATTCAAACAAACAGGTAATACAATAACTGGTTACTTCAGTGTGTTAGCTTTAAATGTGGTTGGAGTAACATACACAAAAAATAATATTCAGGTATCTTTAATTGATGAAAATAAAACCTTATTTTGGACACCTTCATACAAATCAGTCATGGTGGAAAAAAATACTAATATAAATAGAGTCATTTTCAGGTGGATTGCCAGGACATTAAAACATTTCTGAGAATATCTTGTTTTTTTTTTTTATTCATAGTGTTTCCACGTGCCATATTCCGCTCTCACAATGTTCATCAGCTCGGAACAAAAGGAAAGAGACTCTGCTACTGCATACAGTGAGTAATGTCTCTTGTGTATGATCATGTACTTCACTTCAAATGCCTAAAGTGTAGCAGTTACTGATCTTGTGTCCTCCTTCAGGAATGACTGTGGAGCTTTTGGGCACTGTGCTCGGAACAGCAATCCAGGGTCAAATAGTGGGAATGGCCAACGCACCCTGCCTCCCAGGACCCAATGAGATGTCAGAAATCGGCAACGGCTCTCTGGCAACCAACACCTCGGACTCTGCCATCTCTATCGAGCATACGGTATGAACGCACACTCAAAGAATCCTTCCTAATAATCTATGTCCGTAAATCTAACATTCGTTGTTGCCTTTTTAGAAAATTGCATACATGATTTCCTCCGGAGTCATCTGCATAATCTACGTCCTCTGTGCTGTGGTTCTCTTCTTCGGTGTACGAGAGCAGAAAGGTAAGAACTAGAAGGCCTGTATATACCGTACTTTCTGGACTATCAGGTGCACCTGCATATAAGCCGCATCACCTAATTTGAAATGGAAAATCTATTTTGTCTACATATAAGCCGCAGATTCTCATGTTATAGTGTAGACAGTCGCAATTAGACGACTTTTTCAACCAGTTACAACATGATTTGTTGATGAGGCATTTAACTGTTAGCTTTCATGGATGTACTCATGCATCAGTCTTTTTGAGCAATTAATCAGTGTCCTATAGCTGCTTGACAGAGTCAAAATAGTTAATAAACTCTGTTCTGGAAACTCTACCTCAATAAAAATACACATTAGCCACATTGCTAGATAAACTGCATGTTTCAAAGAACTAGTAAAATGTAGAAGCTTATAGTCCAGAACTTACAAACTTCTTTTTTTTTTTAAGATGAAGAGATCCTTTATTTGTTCCACAGTGGGGAAATTTCAGTCTTGCATTACAAGTTAAGTTTAGTTTAAGAATCAGCAGATGGGATTGCAAAGGACATGGCATTACTGGCGTGTTATCCTTCGTCCAATAGTTTTTGCTGGTGTTGAGTGGCGTGACTGCGGCTGACAGGCTGTGTGGGACAACAGAGGCTACTGTTAACTCTCCTTAGAAGTCTTGTGACTCACTCTGAAATAACAGAGTTCAACTGTTGAACCAAAAAGAAAAACAAATTAGTATAACCATGTTTTTTTAATTTCAGAATCATGTCGGCCAAAGTCGGAGCCAATGTCGTTTTTTCAAGGAATCCGTCTGGTGATGGGCCATGGACCCTATGCCAAGCTTGTCATGGTTTTCCTCTTTACCTCACTAGGGTTTATGGTGAGTCATAACAATTATTCAGGAAAAGCATAACTTTTTCCACCTAGTAGTGCCTACTTGAACCTTTATGACCAGGCTTCTATGATAAATGTCACATTTATCCATTGCAGTTTATATTTAATATGTAGCACTTTAGAGAGTATACCTTGCTTACCCCTGAGCTTTGATGTTATTTGGCCTCCATGGCCAGTGCGTGGAATGCCCTTGGCATCTGCTGTCTGCCAAAAATCTGTCTTTGCTACTGTAAAAGGAAATTGATTCCCAATTCTCTCATTTTCAGCTCCTGGAAGGAAACTTTGCCCTTTTCTGCAGCTCCACACTGGGTTTCAGAAACGACTTCCAGAACATCCTGCTTGTCATTATGGTAAGTACTGTAACTAACCTTCCAGAATGCGTTTCCATAACAGTTGGCTCTTGAAACTATTACTCACTAGTTTTTGGCTGAAAAGGAACTCAAGCATAAATTCTCTCTAGTTTCAAAGCTTTACTGTTCTCCGCTGGACTACATTGTGTTTCCACTGCCCATTGGAATGATATGTGTCTGTTGTTTTTAATCTGTCTGAATACCACCCCATCCCCACTGACAACAGCAGAGACAGTGCAACTTGGCATTAGTTCTGCCTGCATTTATTATGTCAGCTGTAGTCTGTATATCAAAGTAAGTACCAAACTACTGTTACAGGACAAGCACAGCCATTGAAGAATACAATACACAGTGTTTTAAAGCTTAAATAAAATAATTACACAGTTTAAATGTCTGTGTGATGGAAAGTTTTAAATTCCTACTGCCACACTTCAAATACATTTGAGTGGGACTTATCTCAGAGCCTCTTTTGTAGCATCAATGGAGACGGATAATGTTTGCCAGGAAAGCAACAAACCAAGCACTGCACAATATAATCTTGGGAAGAGTGGAAGGTCCAATGGCCTGAAACATTGTCTCGTGGCAGCAGGGAGTTCATTACCTGAACACAGAGTATCTTTGTGTTGCCTCCTGCATTGGAGACTGAGGTTTTCTTTTTTTACTTCAGGCATTTTTGATTCACCTTCAGGCAGACTTTACATACAACAAGAGTGCAGTATTCATTTTTGAGCATTAGAGATGGCCAATGTTTGGGTTTGGGGCTTGTATAACATGATTGTTGAAAGTAAGGCTGGGCCAAAAATCAAAAGATTTCCAAATCAGGATTTAGACTTTCTTCAATCTCTCAACATCTGCATTCAAATCCACAGGCTCCAATCATGAGGCTAAGATGAGGGGCTCGCTGTTAGTTCTCCTATACTCAACAGGGACAAAATAGCCCTGGAAATGTTTGGCTTGAACATGACAATATGAGGAAAACATAATTGACATGTATTTCTGTATTCTAGTTAAGCAGACACCATAGTAACTTCTTGGCAGTATAGTATTTTCCAAGAAAGAAGGGGGGGGATAAAGAAAGCTGTATCTTTATAGGATTGAGCACGTATCAACTAAATGCTACAACACTTTCACAAAGTATCTGAGGCAGCAGGTGGAAAAACCGCTATTGTTCTCCATATACATGTATCGTCAAACATGAGAGGTCAGAGGCTACGCTCACTTGGAGATAAGTAAGCCCTTTGCTGCGGTCCATTGAGCTATAGGAACCCACTGGACGTTTCAACAATATTGTGAAGATCATGTTTGTTTTGGGAAAAGCCATGAAGCCACATAGTCTTGTCAGCTTGTCCAATGTGCTTCTTCATCATCTAATATTAAGTTGAAACCAAGTATTCAAAGAATGCTGAATATGCTGTGAAGTATTTATTGTTGTGTAAAATCCAAGCTCAGACAATACATGATATATTAACAGGAAGTTATATCAGTAATAAAAGTTCCTCTCAAAACAAGACAGCTGTTTAACCACATCCTTATTTTGGTCCACAGCTCTCTGCAACTTTGACCATCCCTTTCTGGCAGTGGTTTCTCGGTCGCTTTGGGAAAAAGACTGCAGTGTACTTTGGAAGCCTGGTAAGACCACTTAAGCTTGTTAAGATATATGCTTAATGCATGCGTTTCCTGTGCATTATGGCTAATGCTCGTGTGTGTGTGTGTGTGTGTGTCTACAGTCTGTGGTTCCCTTCCTGGTCCTGGTGGCACTCGTGAAGAGCAACCTGATCATTACCTATATCGTGTCGTTTGCTGCTGGAGTGTCTGTATCTGCAGCCTTCCTCTTGCCATGGTAAGCAATGAAACCACTTCTCCTATTTGAGCAAAATAAGCACCTTTTAGTTCAAAAGTATTTTACAAAAGTATTTGCCTTTTACTTTAGGCTCCCTGTGTGTATATATATATATATATATATATATATATATATCATGTTAAAGATGTTCAAATTATGTTTGTCCCAATGATTTTTATCTTTTTTAACTGAAAAAGGCAAAAAAGCATGCATTTGCGTTAGCGTAAGAACCAAACGGTTTTGAGAATGAGGAACTAGTTTATTTTTTGTTGTTTCAAAGTTACATACTCCAGTTTATCTGGAATCCCAAAATCTGCATTGTGCCCAGTGGGGGCGGGTCCCAGCTCAAAAGTGGCCAAAATGACGTGCGCTGACATGCTGCAATACCACCCCGGGCCGATGGGGGTGGACCCAGAAGAATAATTAGCCAATGCCAACATATAGCGTTGGCAGACCTCTCAAAAACGTCTTTACAGGATGGACCAAAAGTTGGCTCTTGGCCCAAAGCTCAGTTCCACATGTGTGTCAATGCTGAGGGGGGTGAATTTTTTTGGTCCAGTCTAGTTTAATTGCTGTGAATTTGTTTAAGTCTCTCGTTCAAATGAATGGAGCTGCGCCGGCTGACGCATGCGCAGATGCGTTTTTTCACAATTTTCTTGTGGGCGGGACCACTCGCAGCCATTTCGGATTGCTCCAGTAGAGCACATTTTTTGGCCCATTAGTTAGAACGGCGGAGATAGGCGTGACTCTGTCCGTTAATATATACAGTCTATGAAAATGATTTTCTGTTGTGTTTTCACTTGCATTTGTACTATATTTGACTTGGTCTCTCTAGTTATTCTCAAGTGTAACTATGTTTCCTACGTTTCTTCAGGTCTATGCTTCCTGACGTTGTGGACGATTTCCAAGTGCACAATCCCGACTCCACTGGGCACGAGGCTCTCTTCTACTCATTCTACGTCTTCTTTACAAAGTTCGCATCTGGGATCTCACTGGGCATCTCCACTCTCAGTTTAGAGTAAGCCAATCCACTGACCACTTATTTCTATATGGACTGAAGCCATTCTGACGTTGACATGAATCTGAACTAGACCAGTGGGACAGGAGTTAATAAATCCAACGTAAGTAAGCCAAATCGCATCGAAGGCAAATCCAGCTTCAAAGCCAGGGAGACATTCTTGGGTCCTTTCCTTGATTAGGTACAGTGAGGCAGTCCATCACATGACTGAACCTACTTATGAGACCTGCTGGGAAAGGAGATTGTATTAGATTATAGTATACTAGGCTCCATGCATCAATGATGATTTCTTATTAAATCATCATTGACCCATTTTATGTTTGTGTTTTTAGTTTTGCTGGCTATGTGACAAGAGGCTGCTCCCAACCTGCTGCAGTGGATTTGACACTGAAGCTCCTGGTCTCCGCTGCCCCTGTCATTCTCATTTTAATCGGGCTTTGCATATTGTACACGTATCCAATCGATGAAGAGAAGAGGCAAGGCAACCGCAAACTGTTGCAAGAGCAGAGGTAGGAGAACCCTGGCATTTTGAGGATTGTTGATATGTAATGAGGCTGCTTTTGTGGTTGGAAATTGTACATTTTACTTTTGTTTTCTTTCTTCAGGGACAATGAGAGTGATTCCGAAACAGACTCCACAGAACTGTCTAATATGGTGTAGCAGCTTCCAGCAGCATCCCTGGATTAAGTGTGATCATTTGCACTGGGTGGGACCAACATACCTGGGCCTGTTGCTTAAGACGGGCACCGCCTTGTCCAATCACAATGCTGCTGTTCTAAGTATCCAAAACTTGAGTGTCAGCCATGAGGCCTTTTTCTAAAAAATGCTAATCTACCATCAACACGTTTTTTTCATCCTATCCCTCTCAGTGCACCTCAAAAGCCTTAGTTTACAGCATGCTTCTTTTGAGTGCTGTGGTGATTTCCTGAAGGCTGTTTTCTTTGTGAGAAATGGCACAAACTAATGAAATGTGTCGGCAAAGAATGCTTTTCCAGTGCTGTTATTCATGGTGCTAGAAATATTGAGAGCTCGAGATTCCAACCATTTACTATGTGGCTTCAACCTTCTCAGGTGCAGCCACATAGTAACTTGTATACCTAAATAATGTTCAAATCACTGGAAAAGCTTCTGTGAATCATTGACAGTGCATTGAAGCACATTTATGTGTGATGTACAAAAATCGTATTGTACCTTCAAAGTTTACAAACCTGTCAATTTATCCCATCTCATTCCAACTTGGATCAAATGATGGTCAAGCTGGAAAAATATCAGACTTAGAAGTCCCTTGTCATAGTATTAAAACCACTAAAGCAGTAAAGAAAAGCTTTCTGTTTGCACAATTAGATGCCAAAACATACATTATACATAGTATTTATATGTCAGACGCAAAACCAACTTAAGTTGGTACAAATGTATGTATTTGAATATTTATTTATTAGAAATTCCGTTTGCAATAGTTTTCAGTATTTTACGACTGTATACTTGCTCCAGCTGAATTGTGAGTGTCCAAATGCTGAATGGAATAAAGGTGGCTGTTAGGTGCATTTGAATGTATGTCACCTCAGCTCATGGTTTCCAGACGGCAGTCTAAAGGGAAATGACCTTGAAAGTTGAGGATGTGAATGTGTTTTGTTTTTTGTAAATATCATGTGAAGGAACCGAATACTTTGTCCTTGTCATAAAAATGACAAATGGCATAATTCATATCTATTGATATGAAAGTGTATAGTGTCATATGTTATACATACTGCTCCATCTGCAACATGTTATTTATTATAACTGGGTTGCCAGATTTCATATTAATTCCCCTTTTTTGATTATTTAAGTGAGTTTTTACCATTCACATGGGGGGATACTGCACAATGAGCACTGTGCCATTTCTACTTAAAGCCCTGAACGAGTTGTAGATTATGTAAATGTCCTGTTTTATTTTGTCGGTGTGTTGTATTTAATACAAGTGAATTTCCCAAACGAGTGAGGCTGTGTTGCCAAATGTGTGACCCACAAATGCCTTCTGTACAAGCCTCTTGTGCATATGTATATATTGTATGTATATTCTACCTGTAAATACCTTTGATATTTGGTGATGCAAATCATTTAAATGTGTACTGTAGTTATTTAAAGAGAAAGGAAATTGAAAACATTGTTAATAAACATTAGATGTACTGTGAAGTTTTGTATTGTTTTACTTTTGCTATACAATTCCTCTGAGCTAAGGGTTGGTGGTTCAAAAAACATACATAATAAATTGTATGAGCAATCAGATTGATAAACCTATAAGTGTGAAACCATGCTGCTACTTGTGTCCTCCTTATGTAAGACCGTGGATTAATTCCTTGATACAAAAAAACATTTTGAGTGCCTTATAAGATAGTGCTACATAGATTTGATTACAATACATATTTTATAACGCACTTTAATTTAGTGTGTGAGGTTAGTCCTATGAATAATGTAGTAGAGCCCCTTTGTGCATCAAAATCAGATAGATGAGACAGAAATTATCTTCAAACATTACATACATTGAACCTACAGTGCAATTACAGCTGTTTTATATTACGATTACTATATATCTACAATAACTTGAACCAACCTTTAACCAAAGTTATTGAAGATATATAATAATCGCAATATAGTGTTTGAAGACATTTTCTGAAGTATAATAGCATTAAAATGTTGCATATCATGTAAAATGTTTGACACCCCTGGTTTAGACGAAACATTGTTTCAGACGGTAGTAGTTTTATGATGGATCCATTATAATATATGATTTTGATAAAGCTATTCTTGGAATTCAATTCCAAGCATAAATGCCTTCATATTATGGAAAAAAAAATATCATACGAGAAAATCAATAAATTCAAAAGATGAGTTGTAAACAAACTTTCCACTAAGAAAACGGTGGATACCTTGGTATAAAAGTATTGTCTAAGTTTGTTTGACACTCGCTGACAACATACTCGTCCGTTTTAAGCATAGATTGTAAATCCTAAGCACGCAGCGACCTCTAGTGACCAACTTTAGAAGTGTGGTTCCAGAAGTTCTGCTGGTGATTACTCTGGTCTGCAGTTTGTCAGGCTCAGTGTTGCCAACTTAGCGACTTTGTCGCTAGATTTAGCGACTTTTCAGACCCCTATAGCGACTTTTTTTCAAAAAAGCGACTAGCGACAAATCTAGCGACTTTTTCTGGTGTTATTGGCGACTTATCTGGTGTTTTGGCGACTTATCTGGTGTTTTGGAGACTCGTGAAGCACGTATTGTTCTGCAGTCTCACAGTAGCCTTGCGCAGCAGTCCCAGCTACAGTCTATGGGCGGAGCAGAGAGAGAGGAGACTCAAAAGCACAAGAAGTTTTCAGGCTGCTGCAGACTGAACTTCAGCTCCACCACCACCACACATCCAAAGCTCCCCGGCCACTCCTACCACCGCCACCCCCCACTACCCCCCACTCCATCCGCGGCAGCTCTGTCCGTGACTCTGTTTTCTCTCAGTAGTGGGTCACATTAAATCATTTGTTATGCCAAACTATGAAAAAAAAAAAAAAACTTACAAAAATAAACCTAAGTAACTCTGCCAGAGTGTGTCTTTTGGGTCACTTTGCCGGTCCCAAGCCCGGATAAAGGAGGAGGGTTGGTTGTAGAGCTAGAAATTTCACCCTACATAACAATCTTTTGATTACATTTGCTGTTATAACATTTAACAATACAGGACAAAACTGATGTGTGTAATGTGGATCTAGACAAAGCATTAAAATCATTAAATGTTGTTAATGTTGAAATTATTTTTGTACATTTGTAGTTCTAAACATATTTAGGGTGTTTTTACTCACTTTTGTCTCTCCCACGACCTTATTCCTCTCTCCTACAGCGTCCGTTACAGTTATTTGCAAATGGCAAATTATGCAAATTAGGCGATGACGTCATTTAGCGACTTCTAGCGACTTTTGGGACAGCCAATAGCTACTTTCCTTACTGAGGAGTTGGCAACACTGGTCAGGCTGTCGAGTGGAGCACAGAGCGAAGTGCTGCTGATGCAACACTGACAGTTCCCCAGCTTTTCTTCGACTGCCGGTCATTGCTTCAAGTAAGTCATTATAACACTCAGTTTTATTCTTTTTAAGTGTCCATTCACTATGTATTTACAGTGAATGGAAACATCAGAACGACTCCAGTTTTCTGTGATGTGAAGCGGCGTTAGCCACATGGTTTCAGGCTAATGCTAGTGCTGTGTTTTGAGCTGACGCGTTCATTCATCCTCAACAATATAGACATACCAGCAATCCGTGATTCACCAGCGAATCACCACACACTTTTTAATGTCCTAAAGTGTTAAACTTTCATTCTCAATGTTGTAGAGGCCAAAACTGAATATAAATAGCATTTGTATTATACTACCAGGTTATTAATAATCTTCTTTTTATGATTATTTACATTATTATATTATATTATTAGATCGATTGATTATATGAATACATGCCAAACCAATATAAATACTATTGTTTTGGATGCAGCCCTTTTACCATGGCAGACCTGTTAAATCCAAATGAGAAGTTTGATCTCATCACCAGGAACCTCCAGGTAAAGATGCATTTACAATTGTATTAAGGATCGCTGGTTAACTGCTGAAGGCTCAATGTTAACTTTACAGGAGGTTCTTGGAGAGGAAAAAGTGAAGCAGATCTTACAAGAGAGGGAGCTCAAAGTGTACTGGGGCACAGCGACCACAGGAAAACCACATGTGGCATATTTTGTGCCCATGTCGAAAATCGCAGACTTCCTTAAAGCTGGCTGTGAGGTGGGTCGAATTGTATGGAAGTGTCTGTACAAAGAAAAAGTACATCCGATCAATGCTTCTTTTCTATTTCTAGGTCACTATTTTGTTTGCCGACTTACATGCCTATCTAGACAACATGAAGGCCCCATGGGAGCTGCTGGAGCTCAGGGTGAAGTACTATGAACAGGTCATTAAGGCTATGTTGGAGAGCATTGGTGTTCCTCTGGATAAACTCAAGTTTGTCAAGGGCACAGACTACCAGTTAAGCAGGTAAGATACTTTTAGTATCCTAATGTGATGTATTGAGCTATGAACAGGTTTGATGTCTTTATTTCTTTTGGCAGAGAATATACGCTGGATGTTTACCGCCTGTCTTCTATGGTCACTGAGCATGATGCCAAAAAAGCTGGAGCAGAGGTAGTTAAACAGGTGGAGCATCCTCTCCTTAGTGGTCTGCTGTATCCTGGACTTCAGGTGAGGGGTTGATCAGACATATGTTAAGGGTATTAAAAGATATTTAGATAGTTGAAACAATACAGAAAACTAAATGAACAGAACTGACAACAATCTCCATTAACAGGCCTTGGATGAGGAGTACCTCAAGGTGGATGCTCAGTTTGGAGGAGTTGACCAAAGGAAGATTTTTACGCTTGCAGAAAAAGTAATTTTCATACATTATGCATGTTGCTCAAAGGGTTGTGTAATAAATGTACTTTTATTTTGTCCAGTACTTGCCCACGCTTGGCTATGGTAAACGTGCTCATCTAATGAACCCCATGGTCCCAGGGTTGACTGGGGCAAAGATGAGCTCTTCAGAAGAGGTAGGTTGTGCACCAATAAGATGGGAAGTGAGTGGGTTAGACATTGTATAATTTAACTCATGCTATTTTCACAGGAATCTAAGATCGATCTGCTAGACTCAAAAGAGAATGTGAAAAAGAAGTTAAAAAAGGCTTTCTGTGAGCCTGGAAATATCCAGAATAATGGTGTCCTCTCTTTTGTCAAATATGTCCTGTTCCCTTTGCACGGAGGTACGGTTGAAGCGGCTTCTCATTTTTAATCAAATAGCCCAATTCCATCCACAAAGAATAATGCTGATGTGATTTTTTTTATTTTGTCCCCAGACTTCTGTGTCAAAAAAGATCCGAAATGGGGAGGTGACAAAGTTTATACTGATTTTGATGAAGTGGAAAAAGACTTTGCTGCTGAGGTAAAACAAAGTGAAATATTACAAGGACAATATTATGACAAAGAAAACTGCTGACCTTATTTGATAAAAAGGCAATTACTGAAATTATTGTTTTCGGACCTCAAAAACAAAGAGAGAGCGTTATCTGCCACCTCCAGTCTCTCTCCCTAAAACCCTCAACTCAGGTCAGAAATCTAGGAGTAATAATGGACTCAGACTTAAATTTCAATAGCCACATATCATCTGTGACATCATCAGCTTACTTCCACCTAAGAAACATTGCTAAAATTAAAAACATTGTGTCTAAAGCAGACTTGGAGATTCTTATCCACGCATTTGTCTCCAGTCGATTGGACTACTGCAATGGCTTGTTCACAGGTCTCTCTAAACAAGCGGTAAAACAGCTGCAGTACATCCAAAATGCTGCAGCTCGAGTCCTGACTAGAACCAGGAAGTACGACCACATTAGTCCGGTCCTCAGGTCTCTGCACTGGCTTCCTGTGGCTCAGAGAATAGATTTTAAAGTAGCTTTACTTGTGTACAAGTCTCTCCATGGCCTCGCACCAGGGTACATCCGCGACATGTTGGTGCCATATGAACCAACTCGGGCTCTGAGGAGCACAGGGACTGGACTTCTGTTAGTGCCAAGAGTCGGAACTAGACATGGGGAGGCTGCGTTTCAGATTCATGCAGCTAGAGTCTGGAACCGTCTTCCCGAGAGTGTGAGACAGGCGTCTACTCTAGTAGTTTTTAAAACTGAACTGAAAACAGTTCTTTTTAGCTGTGCATACAAGTGAATGATTTTATATTTGTTTTTATCTTTAATCTTTTTAATGCGCTATGATTATTTATGATTGTAATCCCTTGTGTGATTTTAATGTTTTACGGTTTTTAACTACTTGTGTGATTTTATATATCTTGTGCTCTTAATCTGTCTTTTTATGTTTACTTAAATTCTAATGTTTGATGATTTATGCATGATGTTATATGGGTTGTGAGGCGCTTTGCGTTGCCTTGTGTAGGAAAGGCGCTCTATAAATAAACGTTGATTGATTGATTGATTGAAACGTTTTCTATTAAACTACAAACATAAGGTGATTCACCCTGGAGATCTGAAAGCTTCAGTGGAAGTTGCTCTGAACAAACTGCTTGAGCCAATCCGAAAGAAGTTTGAGGCACCTGAACTCCGGAAACTCACCAACTCAGCCTACCCAGACCCTTCAAAAAACAGTCTGTACTTTATATATTGATATGAAAACGGATATAAAAATACAGTCTCACGGCTGAGTTTGTTTTGTCTGTTAGAATCGGTAGGAAAGGGAGCAAAGGCTGGAGGGGGCGGAGGAGGAGGAGGAGGAGGAGATGATGATGAACTGGTCCCATCCAAGTTGGACATAAGGGTTGGAAAAGTTGTCAGCGTGGAAAAGGTACATACACGAAATGAATGCCAGTGCAGCGTTTTGGAGCAACTATGAATGTGACGTTTTGGTTTTGTCAGCACCCAGACGCAGATTCACTCTACCTTGAGAAGATCGACGTGGGAGAGCCTGAGCCGCGGACGGTAGTGAGTGGCCTTGTGGCATATGTTGCAGCAGAAGACCTACAAGATCGCATGGTGCTGGTTCTATGCAATCTGAAACCTCAGAAGATGAGGGGGATCGAGTCACAAGCCATGCTTTTGTGTGCTTCGATGTAAGTTTTCCGCTTTTGTCGCTTGTCATTGGGGGATTTCCTGTCTTGTAAATGTCTTTCTGAGAAGCCAACTGTGCTTTACCTGCTTTGACACCTGCGTTTTTTATTGTATACTGAGCAAAATATAAACACAGCTGTTTTTGGCGGTGTGCGACGGGGTCAGTCTGATCAACGTCATCAGCATTCAGAATGAAATGTAACTGCTTGAGCTGGGGTACCTTTTCTCATAAAAACACATGATTATCAAGTCATTCATCGCCTAGAATGAGTCTTTTGTGTGCATGAATGGTTGGTGGTGGTCAGAGGGGCCAATGGCACTATATAAAACCCATTCATTATTATGTTATTCCACAAAATGCTCTTCATCCTATTTTATAAAACCTCTTTTGCGTACTTGTAAGAAGGAGCCCTGCGTGTTACTGTTTGACACTTTGGGCTGATAGCTGATTGGCTGAATGAGGGTATTTCTCTAAAGCCAAACAGATTTGAGCTTTTTTTTTTACATAATTATTTTTTGTTGTTACAGCAGCTTTAAACATAGATAATGACTTCAATAGATTTCTAACATTGAGTGTGTAAATGAAAAGGAAAACTTCTATATTTCAGAGAAGGAGAGCCCAGGCGAGTTGAACCGCTGGACCCTCCTGAGGGCTCATCACCAGGAGAAAGAGTTTTTGTTGAAGGTTATGAAACGAGCAAACCAGATGACAGACTCAATCCAAAGAAGAAGGTGTGGGAGAAAATACAGGTAGGGGGCACTCTAACTCCAACTAACATATTCCTGTCATTCTGATCTGGTCTCAAATAACAACTTGTTATTTTTGCCACTCAGGTGGATTTGAAGATGTCGGACGAGTGCGTAGCTCAGTGGAAAGACAAGCTTCTAATGACCAAATTGGGACAAATTACTTGCAAGACTCTGAAAGGAGGCAACATTAGTTAACTGTGCACATGAGGTTTGCAACACTGCAGAAAACTTCATCTATCGCCATGGCAACAACAGCAGCAGACGTTAATCCTGTTTTCTCAGTGAATTTATGGACAATGAAAAGGACACCAGTGGTGTCTTTGTTGCTGCTTCATCATGGTAATGCAGAAACCTGTCATTATTCCAAATGTACTGACTACGTAACATTCTTAACGTCAAGAAGTCACAGCTCTGAGTTTTAAGGGAATTCATGTTGGTCATTTGTTCACGGTTCAGGATCAGTAGTACATTGATTTTATTGCTGTGTGTATAGTAAATATATCACATGTCAAATAAAGAATGAGAAATCCTGACAAGTTTTTCTTCAATACTCATGTTTATTTAGCTGTACATATGTTAAGATTACTCTACGAGCACTTACTACTGAACAGTTGGATTATTCACTCATTTGTGCAAATGTGTCCATGGTTTCTCTCTTCACCCAAAGAGCTTTTTGATGGAGAATGTCTTCGCCACTACAAAATATGGTAATATTCCTGATTTACTTGCCCAAAGACGGATCAATTGACTGCTAATGTACCAATAAGGACGATCCCAAACCTTTTGAGAACTGCAGCAATCATGTATCATAACAAAGTGCTGCTGTGTTTGTAACATATACATTGAAACACATATTAGCTCTACTTTAAATGCCTTAAAAATCTATCTTAATAAATGATTTATTTCACAAAATAGTTACACAACATGTAGTATTTCACAGAAAGGCTTTGTTAAGTGTTAGGGAAGATTCGCTACAACTTGATCCAGCCACAAGAGGGCAACCAAAAGCCATTTACAGCCTGAAAGCTACCCTCTGGGATAGGCTTTTAAGAGATAAATAATTATAGAAAATATACTCCAGAATAAAGCTGTCATTAGAAATAGGGCAATTTTTTTGCATAAATATGTAAGGCCATCACAGGCTAAGGCGTTTGGAATACGAAAATACTTGTAACGCAGCAATAACCAGGTTGAAACTGTCCGTATAGAAGTATTTCATTTGTGGTCTTTGTGTCCTCCTGGCTCTTCAGCGTGTCACCAAACAGCAGCTCAGAACAGCGTCTCAATTGTGTCCGCTGTCACTCTTGTCGCTGGAGAGGGAAAAGAGCGGGTTAGACATAATGACATCACCATAATACAGTTACTTATGAGCGTGCAGGCCTGATTGGATTCAGCTGCTGAGACATGAGCTCTAGGTTAGGGACACACAACACATGCTTACACATTCTACTAAAGCCTTTGTAAGCACCTTTTGTATGTATGATATAAGATGGTTTGCATTTTTGTTAAGGCGACAAAGAAGACATTTTACCAATCATAAAAATGGTTGGCTTTCAACACATTACAACTGTTTAGATCAGGGGTGTCATTCATACGGCCCGCGGGCCGGAACCGGCCCGCCAAGAGATTTGACACGGCCCGTGGCTCATTTATGTAAAAATATAATAAAGTTACATTTTAAAAAGCCGCTCCGCGACGCAAGGCTCCGCGCCGCGAGGCGCCGCGACGCCGCAGCGCCGCGCTCAGGGGTGAGTCCAGTGCGTCTGTAGTGGCTCCACCAGAGCGGTGCTGAAGGAATAACATCTTAAACTACAAGACTCGGCGAAAAATACGGCACTTTGAGCGAAGAATAGAGAAAACAGAAGATAAACATGTCTGGCCCTGAAGACACAGCAGTCTGTTTGTGCCCAGAGCGAGAGGTTAGTGCTGCTGCTGTAAAGGGAAGCTACCTGTGCTAACAACATTAGCATTAGCATCGCAGCCGCACAGTGAGAGAGAGTTGTTAAAACTCTCACAGGCTGCAGACATGGTCTGAGAAACCACTCGCTTTTACCAACATGTTGCCATTGATAAGAGACTGATGTTACTGATGTCACATATTCATTTGTGGTGTTACTGAAACTATCAGAGCAGTTTTGAGCGCTGCTGCTGGTGCTGCTGCTGGTTCTGCTGTTGTTGCTGGTGTGTTGGACAGTGTGGACTGGTACCGATGGTAAAAACAGGTGTAGTGACAAAGCTGCAAATGGAGGTGATGATTTTTGGACATTTGACTGTATTTTACACAGAGACACTGCTGCAGTCGTTAAGAATGAATCACGTTATGGAAGTTGTTTTATTCATTTCAAATGAATCATGGTCAGTTTGATGCTTTCTCTGTGATAATAACATAACCATGGACTGTACCACACTGAAGATGGTTAATGTGATAATAACATAACCATGGACTGTACCACACTGAAGATGGTTAATGTGATAATAACATAACCATGGACCTGACCACACTGAAGATGGTTAATGTGATAATAACATAACCATGGACCTGACCACACTGAAGATGGTTAATGTGATAATGACATAACCATGGATCTTACCACACTGAAGATGGTTAATGTGATAATAACATAACCATGGACCTGACCACACTGAAGATGGTTAATGTGATAATAACATAACCATGTACCTTACCACACTGAAGATGGTTAATGTGATAATAACATAACCATGTACCTTACCACACTGAAGATGGTTAATGTGATAATAACATAACCATGGACCTGACCACACTGAAGATGGTTAATGTGATAATAACATAACCATGGACCTTACCACACTGAAGATGGTTAATGTGATAATAACATAACCATGGACCTGACCACACTGAAGATGGTTAATGTGATAATGACATAACCATGGACCTTACCACACTGAAGATGGTTAATGTGATAATAACATAACCATGGACCTTACCACACTGAAGATGGTTAATGTGATAATAACATAACCATGGACCTTACCACACTGAAGAAGGTTAATGTGATAATAACATAACCATGGACCTGACCACACTGAAGATGGTTAATGTGATAATAACATAACCATGGACCTTACCACACTGAAGATGGTTAATGTGATAATAACATAACCATGGACCTTACCACACTGAAGATGGTTAATGTGATAATAACATAACCATGGACCTGACCACACTGAAGATGGTTAATGTGATAATGACATAACCATGGACCTTACCACACTGAAGATGGTTAATGTGATAATAACATAACCATGGACCTTACCACACTGAAGATGGTTAATGTGATAATAACATAACCATGGACCTTACCACACTGAAGAAGGTTAATGTGATAATAACATAACCATGGACCTGACCACACTGAAGATGGTTAATGTGATAATAACATAACCATGGACCTTACCACACTGAAGATGGTTAATGTGATAATAACATAACCATGGACCTTACCACACTGAAGATGGTTAATGTGATAATAACATAACCATGGACCGTACCACACTGAAGATGGTTAAGCTGAGGTGCTGTGTTTAAGTGCTTTTTTCTATCTACCTACTTTACCTTTGTGAGCAGGTTTTCTCTGTAATGAGCCTTAAAACAAAGCTAACACACAAATATTAATATACATATTGTGAAATACCATTTTCAATGTAATATTGTAAATACATTACATTATTTGCACTATGGAAAACTCACTGTTACATTTAAGTTTGTAACAGAAAACTGAGTATTAAAGAATAGTGTTTTAAAGGAAGTTTTAAATAAATGTGTTTATGTGCACAAAAAGTTGGACTTTGTACCGTTTTTGGATATTTTTGTAGAGCATCTCCTGGTCCGGCCCACTTGAGATCAGATTAGGTTGTATGTGGCCCCCGGACCAAAATGAGTTTGACACCCCTGGTTTAGATGCTCTTTTCATTGAAAACACAAATATATTTGGCTTCACTTTTTTTAAGAAACAAAAATGTGCTTGTTGCTAATAATAGTGAAATAATATTAATGCCGCCAAATAATATAACTTGATACGATCTACTCCATATGTGAGTGGTTGTTAAATAAAGGAGACTAAGTTCATTTGTTTTACCTGCTTTTAAAGTCCTTCCACTTGCAAATGAAAACCTGACCCTGTCAGAGCTCAAGCCCTGCCTCAGCAGGGCTGGGCCTGGTTAGAATTGTGATGGGGACCAGGTGCCACAGTGGCAAAGTGTGTGTGTGTGTTTCTGTTTGCGTGTGAATATTTGGTAGTGGTCAGAGGCACCGATAATCACTTCTACCAGTTTGCCCCAGGACAGTTGTGGCTTCAGCAGTGCATGAAGTGAAAGAATAATGCCATGTGAAGAGACTTTGAGTGTCCAGGAAAGTGCTTTATAAAACCTATGAAGAATTAACATTATCTTAAAAAGTTAGGTAGAATTTGAAATTGAGGGAAAAATCTTACTTTTTGTCTCAAGTGGAGCAATTTGGTGTTTGACACCAATATTTCCTGGACGTGCCTGTAATGGCCCGACACCATCGAGGCTTGGTTTTCTGGCCACAGGTGGAGGAATTGATTTGATCCCACCATTGTAAGAATTGCTGTTGGACTGTCCTGACAAATCCAAGAGTTCTGATGCCAAGTTCTGTTTGAGGGCCTGCTGGGCTTCAGCACACGGGCCCACAGTTTCAATTACCACCTTTTTGTGACTCCGTGAGAAGATGAAGCTGGCTGTGGAGGCTGCAGACTTGTGTATGTCACTTAATGGTTCACCTATAGAGCTGTAAGGAGGTAATCTCGTCAGCGGTCTGGATAGTAGACTCTCCTTAGTGGACATTGCAGCAGTTTTCACACGTATAGCTTCTTGAAGCCGCAGAGAAGGTTGAACAGTTGTTGTAGAGGGCAATTTGATTGATAGTGACTTGCGAATTGGCTTTTGTGGTACATTTTGGGAAGTTTGAATAGCTATAGGACAGCTTTCTTGCTCTGAGGTTTCTACATCTTTCTCCTCTGAAGGGGCATCGACTTCTTCTGCCATGCTGACTGACCTGAGCCGAACCATTTGAAGCAACGAAGGAGTGACTAGAGGTATGTTTGCGTCCTCTTTGGGCATGGGCATGCTTTTGTAACGGGCTTGGGACTCTTTGGCCCTGATTGTAGTGCTGGGCTGTCTTCTGAAATTTACAGAAGGTTTGCTTTCTATAGCTTGAGCAGAAACAACATGGATGGGCTCTTCAGCTTTGAAAGAGTCTTGCCTTGAAGAGTTTGATATCAAAGATGCTGAGCTATCTTTAGTATTTACAGTAGGAGCTAAAACATCTTTTTCCGACGCTAGTACTAAGGGTGTGTCTTGCTCTTGCCCTGGCAGTACCTCCTTGGTTAAACTGATCAAGTCCTTTATTTCAACTTTGTTGGATGTGTCTATGTGGTTTTCTAAGAGTAAAGGAGGTGGTGAAAGTGGGAAGTCTGCCTCATCCCCTCCTTCATAAGCCTCTTCCAGTGGAGGTGGAGGAGGTGGCCAACACGATTCTGAAACTTTGCTCTCCTCTATCTTCTGCGGAATGGTTGAAATTTTCGGAAGTGGTTTTCTAGACAAGGGAGGTGTTGGTTGGTAAGTTGGTGGAGGAGTGTGAGGTGGCGAGTCTTTTGGATATTTCGGCATCTCTATTGTAAGTGTGTCAAATGACGAATGTCCATTTACTTTTATATCCGAGTGGTTCTCTGATGACGCAATGCAACTTTCGCTTGCTTTTGGTTCTTCGTCCACAGGTTTTGCCAAATGCTGATCATCTGTCAACGTCACTCTTACAACTGGGATATCTCCAAAATTCTCTTGAGTAATAAGAACTTCCTCCCCAAACACTATCATATTTTGAACCTCGACATCTCGTTTATTCTCCTCAATTGATTCCACCTCATCTACCACAATAATATCGTCCACTGAGGGCTCATTTTCTTCAGTTTGTGTCTCTTTCAGTGTCCTTGCATCATCCAGCGGTTGTGACAGTGGTACGTTTCGATAAGATCCTAACAGAAGATCCACAGTCTGCCTATTCTGTGTCCAGACTTCGGGAGGAGGAGGACATGGTGCTCGGACTTCGGGGTATGGCGGTATATTTGTTAGACCTTTGATTTCCATTGCAAGCGTGGATGATATGGCCTGCGAAGTTGTAGAGTTCTTTGAAGGAACATCTTGAAGGACAGTTTCAGATGCACTAGATGACAATGAGGTGAGGGAGGAGGATGGAGAGGATGGACAGGCTGCAGAAGTCGATGCCCGGGATATAGATCTTTCTGGTTTGACTGGTAACTTCTTCTGTTTTTCCGGGGAAATTGGGGAGAACTCCTTTGGGGACATCGTTGGAGTGCCGCTTTGACTGGAGTAACCACTAGAAGGAGAGATTGTTCGTTCCATTTTGTCCCTATGCAAAAAAGATGCATCTGATTTAGGTTGTGCGCCTCCACTTTCAAGAACAGAATTGGGTGTGGATAATGTTATTGTTCTTCTGCAGGAATCAGTCGTGCAAACATCGTTCGCTAGCACAGTTTCCTGGCATATACCTACAACCTTTGAGTTATTTCTGATCTTGGAACTATGAAGGGAGTTTGTTCTTCGAGGTGGAGCCGGCGGTTGCTTTGTTTTTGTAACCGACAAACTTCTCCTTTTGATTTTATTGTCCTCAACTTGTGAAATGTCAATCTCAAAGCCATCCCCTACGACCAAATGTTCGCTTGTACTTGTAGGACAGCTCATCATGCTAACAGAGCTATGAGTGCTAACCAGATCTTCTCCAGTATGGTCCCGCTGGTTCCCTTGCTCACTCACACTCAGTCTATGTGAATCTGCGCTCCCTGTGCTTCTTTTAGAAGAAGTTGGGGAGGAGACTAAAACAATGGTCTTTGAAGACTGGGACTCGCTCGCAGGAGGAGTTGAGGAGTTGTTCTGATAAGTGTCAAAGTGGGAGCTGGGTTTGTCTGATCTTCTGTAGAGCAAAGGGCTGGCTGGTGATTCCCCAGATTCCAGGCTGCTTTTGCTCACAGCATGAACACTGCTGCCTCGAGTTCGGTGTAAACTGTGGTCGATCTCGATGACGTCCACAGAGATGGGCAGAATAGCATTAGGGATGATTGTGGACAAGTAGGTGGCCTGAGGGGAAATGGACATCACTGGGCCCTAGACACAACACAAAAGACAGTTTTAGTTGTAATAGTTAAATGGTAAACATGGTTTCACTGTACTATTATTTGATGACATTAATTTGGTTTTGAGGGGCGACAGTGACTCAGTTGGTAGAGCATTGGCCTTTGGGCCTGTGGGTTATGGATACGAGCCCACCATGAGACCTTCTCCACCCACTCCCACTGATGTCTACTGTCGTTGTGTCCTTGGGCAAGACACTTAACCGCACGTTGCCTGAATCCCCCGCTGAAAGATCAAGGCTCACACTGACAGAGAAGCTGGTGCTCTGTGAATTGGGTGCAGCTCTGACTGCCAATATAGATTAAGGGGAAGAAGATGGATGGAATATGGTTTGGTCCTCTACAAGGGTATATACTGTATATATTTTCAATACAGATACTATAGATACTATATTTGTATAACATCCAGAGTAACTGATACAATTTCAAGAAATACAATCTTTCTCATTCTTAAGTAATGAATGCAAGTAAATGTGCTGCTGCACAGCTGAGATTTTCTGAAAATATCCATCAGCGAGAGACCTTATTTTAGCAGCTGTGGTTTGTGCTAACCTGCGGCTCCTGTAGAAAGCTCAACATCGAGGCCGGAGAAGAAAGTGAGGCTGTCATTCCAGGGACTGCGACAGATTTGGGTCTCATGGTGGTGGGGCCTGTGTGATGTCCAAAACCCTGGAAACTAAAGTGAAGCTTGTTTTGGTACATCGCCTGGAGTTGCTCCACTAATATACTCTCCTCTCTGGAAACCTGCTTTGGATACAAAATTATCTGTTATGAATATCAAAAAAGAACAATGCAACTATTGGTGATTTAATGTGTGGTGATGCTTACCTCAAGCTCAGATAGGTGCACTCTTGCTCCTTCCCCGTTTGAGACTGGAGTCCCTCCGTCCACAGTAGGAATGACAACCACTCCTGACTGGTTACTACTAGTATTATTGTTTTCAGGAAGCTGCTGAAATGTTGAATGCCGACGTAAGGCTAAAAAATCAAATATACTTAAAATTATGACATGTTTGATCAATGCATTTGGATGTGGTCTATAGTCTTTCTCGCATACCGAGCTCTTTTTGGACCTGGTGAGGAATGCCCATTATGGTAGTTCGTCTGCTTCTCTTCTTGTTCCGGTCAATGCTTTTCACAGGATGTAATGGCTTAAATGTAGAACCTAAGGTATAATTAATAACATTTGTTATGATCTAAAAAGATAAGTTCTTCTGAGTTATAAGAAGGTGTAAAATTCAACTAGTTGCTATTTTTACGTATTCGACCTTGTAGTGACCTGGTGGCTGCAAGAGTCAGTAGCGTGGCGCCTTAACTTTTGATCATGGCTGTGTCTACACTGCTCCAGAATCAATTTAGTTGTAGGTTTTCTGGTGCGGGGGTAAGTAGGAAGATAAAAGCCTCTAAACAATTGATAGCATAGCTTCCCAGAGACCACTGTGATGGAAAATAAAGACGCCACAAGATCAAATAAGCAAAAATATCAACTTAAACTAAATCAAGACAAGAAACTTTTACAGCACACTGAATACAAATGTGCGTTAAAACAAGTCTGTGGATACTCTCTCTAAGCAGTGCACACCACTGACACGCAGACAGCCGCAGTGCTTGTAATAAAAGTGAAAAGTTCTGCCTGACTATATTAAGAGTTGGGAGAGAGCGTCTTGCTGTTAGACATCACACAAGAACTGTACAGGCACCCAGCATCTGAATACTGTAGAGACCCAGTGAATACCAATGACTACTACAGCAAACCGGCTTCAAAAAGACCTAAGATTTCCACTTTGTGGCGGCGTATAATATTGAAATTATACCAAGATCTGTCTAACATGTCAATTTGAATATGAATTTACATATTACCAATTACCCTTTCCAATGAATTTCTAAGATGCATTACTACTTGATTGTCATTGTTAATGGCATGGATCAGATATTTCCAAAGACAAAGAAGAAGTTGAGCCTTTTATTACCGTATGTGACAACATTGGTCCCTCATCAAAAACAGACCTGGAGTTGTGTTTAGATCCATCCATGCTGATATCAGAAACAGACACAAACGCGTAACTCCGATCCTTCTGTCTAGAAGCTCCCGTCTCAGGTTTGAGATAGAATGATGTAACCCGATCATATTTAAATAAGAAATAGAAAAAAAAAATCTCCTCCCTCTCATGGTAAAATCAGTATTTACAAACAGCCTTTTTCTACCCTTCATACTTGTTTCACCATATATGTTCTATCTAAGATGATATTTCACATTATAAAACATGAAATGACAAAGAAATATTGTAGTTTCATTATCATTTTAAGGGCCATAAATTATGCCCTATATTTACTCTTGAAACAAACAGTCAGAAAGAAGCTTGCCTTGGCAGATAAGCCCAGGTCTTGTTGACCCAGCAGAGAAGTCACTGGTATCAGTATTCCCAGTGGGAGATCTGGACTCCGAACAGCCATCTTCGTCCTTGGAGCTGATATTCTGCTCCTGCTGCAGCGTGATGGTGGACTGCACACACAGCACTGCATTAGACAGGCTCCTTGTGTGTATGAAGGGCAATCATTTGACAAGTGCAATATTATGAAAAAAAACATTGTCCTTTATGTGTATTAATGGCTGAAAAAAGAAAACCAGATATGGCACGGTATAAATACTTACAGTGACGCTCTCATCATCAGGAAACGACACTGCATGTGTGTTCTCCACTCCATTTCTGTTTTCTGTGAAGGCATAGTTCCGTATGTAAGTGGCTTGGATCACCAAATATACAAGATTAATTAATTCAAATATTATGCACTGCAGGTATTCACTGATTTGAGCCGATTTGGTTGAAAAATACTGAACTCATGATAAAATATGACAAAATAGTTCACATTTGACAATATATATAACAATGAATTAAAGCGAATATTTTGACACTTAACGAACCTCAAAGTATAACAAGTATAAACCTATGGCATATACTCAGAGTGCAAATTAAGTTAAGATGGAGATAAATCAAGACAAGACACTTTTATAGCTCCCTAAATACAAATAGGAGTTAAAACAAACAAGTCACATTCTCTCTCTCTCTCACAGCTGCAGTGTTTCAAAAAAAGTAAAAAGTTCTTTATGACTATATTAAGAAATAGGAGAGAGCATGTGTGGTTTGCTGTCATAAAATCCTTCACATTTGACAACCTAAAACAAATACATAATAAAGTAAATACAAATAATAGATAGACATTGACCTTCTTGTTGTATTTTGAGTCCCTCCAGAGCCTCCGTGTGCAGGTCCTCCAGGTGCTGCGGTCTGCTGCCTTCAATGAACACATTTTCTTGCCGACAAGCCGTGTAGTGCACTGTCAACTTCTTCTGCTCGTCTTTCCCCTTTGGCCCAGCTGCAGAGGAAGAAAGAAACGCAACTTCAACACAACATACAACAACAAAACAATGCAGTATCCACCAAAAGTAAACACAGAGAACAGGTGTTTCATTCCAAAAGCTTTTACCAGCGCCCGTGGTTTAAGAATGTTAATTTTAATTCACTTGACACAGTCTCTCAATCTGGTCGGGTACTCGTCCAATCCGGTCAGGTGCACAGAACAAAACCAATGATGTCTCCGTGGGGGGTTGGATAATCTCATTGACCACTTGTGAAGATATTTTTGAGGCAGTGTTCCATGACAGGACCAGGCCATAATAATCATTCTCAATGTACTTTATCAGCGACATTTAGGAAACTTCATTTTGATATTCAAGAGTTATAAATGACCAAAATCAACATAATGGAATGGAATGAAGTCCATGTTTACTGGTTGTAACACTGAGGCTTTGAGTGGCCCTAGTTTGGTAAAGTTTGATAATGTTAGGTTAATTTCTGAGTGAATGTGTCTTCAACAGGTGTCTGGGTTAGCTCCATTTGTCTTCTTCTTTTTATATGTTCTTAACCTGGTGCAGGGTAAGAAAGTTAAAATCATGTTCACAATGTAATTGTAGAGCCGTACTGATTCATTTAGTTAAAACATAATTTTAAGACTCAAAAAAAGCAGTCATTTGTTTTGTACTTAATTAATTGAATGTAATCATAATTTGTGTTTTGTTTGGAAATATTATCTATTAGAATGTCCTACGGCGGCTTCACTACAACTTTTTCAGTGTCAAACTTAGAGGACGTCCCATATTCACGTTCTAAACAACTACCTGGGTAGACTAAGGAATAATTGTTAGCTGCAGATCTACAAAAGGCTGTGGTGATGATCCAGGACACTTTAACATTCTACAACATGTATGGACATTTATCAACATGTGTTCTATATTCTTTTTTGTGTAATAACTGTTGATTCTCTGATCTGTGTTGGTGATTTCAATGGTTTTGTTAAGTCCTCTGAGATGACTATGTGATTTAGGGCTATACAAGAAGATATTGTATTGTACTGTTCCTACAAGTGTGTGAATGAAAATGCGATCACAATCAGATGTGGAGGCAAAATATACAACTTGAAAGATTATTTAAAAAAAATAAACCAAAATTGGTTGCCATCAAATTTTGATTACCAGCAACAAAAACATGACTCAAGGAATGTTTGAAGACATAAATCTATTTAAAAACATCTGTAACCCACTTTATACAGCACAGCATTTTCAAGTAAGAACATACATTTTGGCGTTCCGGATAAATATCCAGATCACTGTGGGAGGTTTCGGGCTTTAGCTTCATTAGGATAATCGTCAAAAAAGTCAGTTAAGCTCTTTATCTCATTAGCTAGGTCTGATCAAAGTGTAACGTGCCAATTGGTTGTGCGTATTTGTACCTGTATACAAGACCTGAGATGCATTTCAATCAGTGAAATTTCATATTTCATAAAACAATATTATAACTGTGTGTATTCTTCTCAAAAGTCTAGCCGCACTCACCCTTCTTTTTGAAGACAGACAGCAGAGAGAGGATGCTTTTCCTCAGGTATACCACCATACCTAAACAACATGACAAGTCCCAAACTCTGAGCAAAGAGCAGTAAGTCCCCCTTGTGTGACCGCAGATGAAATATGAAGTGTGTTCCTTTGCGCAGAAGTGTGTTGTCTCCTCAAAGAAACACAGTGGAGTGAGTGACTGGTGTATTAGTGCACAATGAGACCAGCCTCCAGCCGAGCGGCCTGTCCCAGCTGCTTTATCCCCCGAGTCTGATTCTCTGGTCCCTCCCCCTCTCCGTCTACTTTGTGCTTCTGCTTTTCAGTCTTCATTTGGATTCTGTGCAAAGAAAATCCTATGTCTATTGTCGATTGTTGATCCATCCGCGTGCAAACGGCTGTCGAATTTGCCTTTCAAGAGCGGCCCACCCCCTCTGAACGCGTGTGATCATTCCTATGCAACTGCCTGTTGAATAGTTACCTCAGCTATAAACAAATATTGCTATAAATTCACGCTTACATTCAAAACAAATCACATGAAACAATCTAAACATAATTGCCAACCAAAGAAAAACGACAGGAGTACAGCTGTAAACAACAATTATTTTGACAGTCCATTCCAGTTGGCCAATTATTCTTTTGATTTATTGATTAGCTATTTTGGAAATTTTGATTTTTCTTTTATACATTTGACCAAAACAAAGCTTAAGTTACTTTCATGCAGAATATCTTCACAGACATGGCTTGATATACATTGTGTAGCTTGAATGAAAACACATTTTGATTTCCTTCTGCAGCCATTTTAGAATTTTTTGACACAACCTCTTCTCAGCTCATTTAATTCTATGTATAACTCAAAAAATGATAAGTCAGTTACTAAAATAGTCAACAACTATTTCATTAATCTATTAGATACAACTAATCACTTATATTCCTTCAGCCCTAGACAGCAGTTATCGTCCTTATGTTGATTTGATACGGAAAACAGCTTTAACTATAAACAATTACATGGCAAAGCATTTCGGTTTTAAACAGCCTGCAGCCTCTGTCAAGCTATTCCATGACAGCAAGGTTTGTATTTGCCAGCAGAGATTCTGTGTTGAAAATATATTATAATTTTCCTGATCTCTATAGCTTGTTGCCACCATCTCTTTCCTCATTATTCCTTCTAAACCTTCTATTGCCTACAGAAGTTAGAGTTATAAATAGCTATCAGCACTTCTTCATCGCATCTCTAATAGTGCTGTGCTGGGTAATACCAGGCAACTAATGTTTCCTAAAGCATGAGGCCATGAAATCCAACACGCAAGAGAATAGCTGATGGTGTGGTTGAAAATGAACAAAGAGAGAGGAAGTTTACTTAGATCCAGACCGTAAAAAAATAAAGAATAAAATTGGAAAACAATAATTATATAATTTGTTTGGGAAGATTTTAACACGGACCAAAGAAAAATTAGCCGTTTTCGGATTAAAATATTCTGGCCACTGATCAAGAGACTACAGCTGCACCTTGCGCTCCATCCAGCTGGAGGGACACGCTTCCAGCTCAATTACCTTCAAGCATGAGCCCACTATCCACAAAAAATGGCTCATTAAGAACAGCTTGATATTATTTAAAATAGATTTAAACATTACCCGATGAATTACAATGAAAAACTTTCGAGAAGCACAAGAGTGAGTCCGGCTTTGAAATGCATCATCTGTCTCTCTAACACACACATACAATACTGTCGTTCTTATATATGCTTATTATAACATCATAAAATCAAAGTTCAACCCAAAGTGATATTTCCTTCCTTTGCAATTTATTCATGTTAAAATGGAGTTGAAATCATGCTAAATAAAAGTATTCCTGGTTGAATAAGAAAACCACTTGTTGAGACGTACAAAAACTTGAGTCTGCTGTGTTTGGTCTGGCTCAGAGGATGAAGAGCTTATCCTTGGCCTTTCCACAGACAGCAAAAAGAGAAAAAGAAAGAAATGTGTGGAACATGGAACTATGCGTCTATTTCAACGTTTAATATTTGCGTTGAACTAAACTGGGTCAATGAATATAAATGACACCCTCAGTGCAAAATGACGCAGCGTGACTAATATGTAAGGAGAAGTTATTATTTGAGTCGCGCTGTGATAAACATTAGAGTAAGTAACAGGGTCTAAGCTGCTGGCACACTCTTTCATCTTGATTTTGATCACATCTCAGATTCAAAAGCATTATGTAATTCAGCTCCAATGTTTTTGTCTAGCCTTGAAGAAACACACACATTGTCATAGATTAGAAGTTTTGTAGTTGCACATGTAGACTACAGGCACGCAGCCAGTTGTCTAGCCTTCCTGTTGTTAACCAAGACCCCAAGTATCAATATTCATTAGAAAGTCTAAAGAGACACCATCTGTTCTGGGGGGAGTGGGCAGAGCAGCTTTGATTCACTAACAACACTCCATTCCTTTGCACAAGCAGCAAAATAAGAAAACTGGGAATTCCTATCATTATATGAAATTGTCGCACTTAGTATGTGGTGTAGGGAGAAATACGTTTGGATGTGATTTATTGCATAGTCTTTGAGTTAGTGACCATGTCTCAGTGGTCTCCTTTGGGCTTTTGTTAAAATGTCAAAGACCACAAAGGCCACACTTCACTGAATTATCGTCAGAGTGAATCTGATTTAAAATATATTTAAATATTGCTTCTGATGGTAAGAAAACTATTTTATTTAGCATGTTCCTTTTGATTTTGATAGCAATACATTAGAAACCCATTTTATTTTTCTACTAATGTCAAGCACTTTTAGAATATTTTTTATTTAATTCTAATTAACTGTTACATTATATTCTGATGATGGAATCTCTAGCATAGCATCAGCCTCAAACACACCCATGCATTAGCTCACTTCAGCAGAAATCCCTCTCATCCCCACGTCTGCATGGATGACACTGCACAGCGTCTGTCGTTTGACGAGGACAGTTATTGTCGATGCAGAAAAACATGTGTCCCTCTGGACTGACCAAGCCCTCGCACTGGCCAACAAAACCCAACACACACTTATTGGAAAATGTAATAACACATGTTGAGCAGCATTATCTCATCTTGTGGCCTCAGATTACCCTCCTAACCGCAGAAAGGGCGGGTCAGCAAAGACCCTGAGGGGCAGAGAAGAGAGTGTTTTGTGTTAAGCACAATGTTGGTATCAGGTGAGCGTGGAGGTCATTAGACCGCTGCGCCGCAGGTCAGAGGAACTGTGTCGACTTTAGCTGTGGGGGGAATGCGGCTGGTGTGAAATTATTTAACAAAAGCTAATTCATACATATGTTAAAGCTGGGGTACCTAACTTTCAAACAACACAAAATAGAGCTATGATTCATCTCACTTTCTCAGATTTCTCACTTCCTCAGTTTCTTGCTCTCAAAACAGTTTGGTTCAGACCAGCTCTTTCAGACGCAAAAGTGAAAAAGAGAGGACCACCCTCACTCAGCCAATCAACTTTTAGCC